ACACACACATGCTCATGCTCATGCTCACACATGCTCAGGCTTACACACACATGCTCACATATACATGTTCTCACACACTCATGCATACTTATGCACACACATTCATACATGCTCAGGCTCATACACTATACATGCTCACACGATCACACATGCTCAGGCTCACACACTATACATGCTCATACACTCACACATGCTCAAGTTCACACGCATGCATGCTCATACAGCCCACCGTCCTCAGGGTGTTGGAGAAAGGCCTCCTGTGCCAACATGGACTGCCTTCTCCCAGGGGCCCCCAGGACACCGGTTGGGGGCCCACAGTTTTCATTTGCACAGAAATGTTAACATTTTCGCTTGCCTTCTGCAACCTCCACTCTTATTCAGGCTCCAGTCTTTAGGATTATAATTAAAGCCAGCCTCAGTCACAACACTTCCAGATTCCCAAGACAGCTCCTGGCACCACTGACAGGTGACAGCTCCTTGCCAGCCTCTCACGGCTTCAGGGAACCCGCCTCTCCGAGGCAGGAGCAGGGGTGCTGGACGCCCCGCCGCCCCTGCGCCCCCTGTCAGGCTCACTTTGGTAACACGCGGACGCAGACAGTGTGTCCCAGGCTGTCACTCACCCACCCTGAGGCCTGAGCGGGACAGTCTGGAGTCACGCATGCTCTTCTCACACAGGGACCATCTGTGCCGCCTCACGGCTGGGGCTGGGACCTCGGGGCTAACACATGGCGGTGGCTTCAGGCTCAGCGCAGGAGGAGCACTTTCCTGGCAGGGGTGGTGGTGGGAGTGTATCCTCTCTAAAGGAATCTGGAAGCAAGTTTGGGGACTAGGCTGGTGACCCGTCCAGGCTGAGGGTGTGGACAGCTGAGTCCCCAGAGGCATCGCTGCCTCGTGATCTTCACGTTCTGTCCACCATCCTGTTCAGGCCCCTGGTCACCTGCTCTGCTGCCTCGTCAGGTGGGCAGATGGTGTGGTCATCCCCGCTGGTCACACACGGACACTGGTGCTGAGGCCACTGGATACGGAGCCGGCTCAGCCCCAAGGCAGCACCCGTCTCCAGGAGGGAGCTTGGCTTTGTCGTGGGCCTGCCCCAACGCCAGGCTGAGATAAGGGTCTGAGTGCGAGTTTACTGGGAGGCGTCTCAGGGAGCACCACGGGGCGTGGCGAGGAGACTGGGCAGGACGGCAGGACAGGACTGGCGTGTTGGGAGCAGTCATGCTAGAGCCTGGAGCTCAGTCCTGCTGGGACCCAGGGCACATGGAGAGTCTCCGGTTCTACTTTGTCCAGTGCGGGAGCCCCTGACTCCCAGTGGCTCCATCAGGCGGTGGGTGAGGCAACTACAGCGGCCTGGTGAGGAGGGAGGGGTGGGAGCTGCCTGGAAGGTCTGGGAGAGCCCACGTGGTTTCGATACGTGTATTTCTGAGCACAACCGAGACAGCCCCGCCCCAGAAGCAGGTGAGACCAAACGCTAGGAATAGACACACAAATCCAAAATGCCCCTCCCCCATGGAGGTCGCAGCTCTCCAGACAGTAAGTGCCCTCCAGAGGCCCAGAGGTGACAGCCCAGAACCAGTTTGTCTCATTAATGGGGTCTCCATGTGTCAGGCCCTGTGCGACCCAACTCCCAGCCTCTGGAGAAGCAGAGTGCCACCCAGGGCCACCAGGATCCTTGCTCTGAGTCAGTCAGCTGTCCAGAGGGACTGAAGGACCAGGTTGCTGGCTGGATGCATTTGACCTGTTTGGTGGTGACACTTACAGCAGGATCCTTCCCAACTCACTTCCCAGGTTGGGACCCTCGTGGACGGTCACTAATCTTCACACAAGTGGCCGCCTCTTCTGTGATTACAGCCACCCCTCAGTCTCCGCGGGGGGGTTGGTTCCAGGACCCCCGAGTATACCCAAATCCACGGATGCTCAAGACCCTACAGAACATGGCGTTGGATTTGAATGTAACCTGTGCACATCCCGGTCTCCTATAAATCATCTCTCGATCACCTGTAACACCCAACACAATGTAGATAGTTGTTATACTGTGTTGCTTAGGAATCAACTTTCTGGACTTATAAAAACATTTTCCGTCCTCAGTTGGTTGAATTTGTGGATGCAGAAGCCTCAGATACGGAGGCAGACTGTGCGAGAAAGCCGCAGCCCGGAGCCTTGCCCAGCCGTGGGACACGCATCACCACGTCACCAGCCAGCGGCCTTGGCGTCACTGCACTTTCGGTCTGAGGCTGAGAAGCCTCTGGCTCTGGCTGCTCCCCAGGATTTGGAGGCTCAGGGCTCTGGCTCTGGGCCTTGGCTAGCTTGACCATCTGCTCGCTCCTTGACCATGGTCTCCTCAGGCAGGTCTGTGCTGCAGCCCCGGATCCCCCAACGATGCCCGTCCATGGCTGCCCCTGCGCATCGCTGCCCCGTCCATCACCCAGGGTGTTAGCTCCAGAATGCTCAGGAGTCACAGCACTGCCCCAAGAAAAGACGGGATCCCTGGGCAACCACGATGCCTGGTGGGGGGACTGTGGAGACCATAAGCCCACAGGGGGCTCAACTGAAGAACCCAGACCCTGCAGGGCCCCACAGCATCCACTGAAAGGCTGCTCAGTGCCAGGACATCACGGAACAGAAGGGCAGCCATTTCTCCAGGGACTGTGCCAGGTGCCCCTGGGACAGCGGGCACTTGGAGGGCAGGGCAGCGGCTCAGTGTGCAAAGGTGGCGGAGTCACAGCTGACATCCCAACTTGGTTGCCAACTTGGATGGGTAGATTGTGAAATTTTCTGTTTCTTTTGTTTTGTTTTGTTAATCCTCACCCAAGGATATTTTTCCATTGACTTTTTAGAGAGAATGGAGGGGAGGAGTCGGGGTGGCAGAGAGGGAGGTGAAAGAGACACATTGGCTGCCTCCTGCACAATCCTGATCGGGGATCGAACCTGCCACCCAGGTCCATGCCCTTGACTAGAATCGAACCTGCAACCCTTTGGTCCGTAGGCTGATGCTCTAAGCCTGGAGCCAAACCAGCCAGGGTGAAATTTTCTACTTCTATCAAATCATTGTGCAGCCCATCAGAGCTGACTGATCTTCCATTTCAGTAGCTCGCTGCCTGCTTCATGTCATTGCTGGGAGAATAATAGGAGGTGTGTTCACGCTGCGGCCATTAGCAGGGGGGAGGGGGGCCCTCCTGAATGGGCGGCTAAAAATACCAGCCCGTCCTCAGGGAGCAGAGCTACTGGCCCAGAGGTGCAGGCTCCTTCTTCCCCAAGTGCAGCGTCTCCACGGAGGAGTGTCCCCTCCTTGTCAGAACCTAGGAGGCAAACTCAGAAGTCTGGGCAGTAAAATATCCTAAAGCCACCTGGTACCATTCCCCAAGCACCCCTATGCACCAGCCTCATGCTCCCCACTCAGCACAGCCTTTGCCTCAGGCCCCAGACACGGGCGGGTCCCTGACTTACCACCGAGGCCTGCAGCTGCTGGTCAGGGAATTAACTGAGTGAGGCCTGAACCTCTGGGTCTAATTCCAGAGCCCGTCCCCCACCCCCACTCGGCATGGACCCTCGGAGCCCTGAGGCAGGATGCTACCTGTGCCCTGTCCCTGGAATGAATGAAGACAGCCTGGCCTCCTGGGATTGTAGGACATGACCAGGCCCTCAGACCCACCCTGGCCTTTGGTGCGGGTGCACTGTCTGCTCTGTACCTCTCTGACCTGCAGGCCCAGCCTGGCTCCAGCCCTGCGGCCTGGCCTGGCCTCCCTTCCTCTGTCCCTTTGTTTCTCCAGTGCTTCTTACAGCCCATTATGCATTTCTCCTTACATGTGTGCCCTAACCACAGGTGAGGGGCAGTCAGCGCTGGCCACAGTCTTACAAAATAGCATTTATGTTCTTGAGCCCTTGAGTAGAGTCAGAGCATCACTCTGAAAGGCAAGTCTCCCCTTGTGCCCTCTCCCCCCAAGTTCCTTGATTCCAGTGACACCTTGACACCCTCACTTGCCCACAGCCTACCCCCCCACCTCCCGGAGCTGCTGCCTGGAGCCTTCCAAGGGCTGCCTGGGGTCCCCCAATGGGCAGGTGGCAGGTCGGAGAGAAGCAGGGAGTTGCTGCTGACTCTGAGTCACGCACGGAGGCTGTGGGAGTGGAATTCTAGGGCAGAGGGGGTGTGCCCTGGGAATCTCCCTATGTTTCCAAGTTGCCCTCCTCAGAGCTGGCACCAGTTTATCCTCCCACCAAGCATATGACTTTCTGTTTTCCCATTCTCCCCAAACCAGGGTCTTGTCGAACTTTTTCCTTCCCCAAATCGATAGATGAAGGATGCTATCTTGTTCTTTGGATCCACATTTTCTTTATTACGAGACAGCTCGTGTTTGCCTTCCTGGGAGTGGTCTGTTGGGCTGGGGTCAGTCCCTGCAGACTTGTAGGGTCACTAAGGAGAGCAGCCCTCCCCCTGGACCAGTGTTGCCAACGTTTCATCGGTTACTCAAAGAGGTTTTATTATTCAGAAGTTTTTATGGGTGCCATCAGTCTTTCTTTTATAGTCTCTGGGTTTTGTACCCTACGTACCCATTCCCAGACCAAGAATTTTTATAATTATCTGCTTTTTGGGGGGGAATTTCTGGGTCTCATTTTATTTTCTATTAAACTTGTTGACCCCTCTCCCGAGCTGTTTGGTGTAAAAGTGAGGTAGGGTTCCAGGTTAACTCTTCTTTCACTCACTTGTTCACACCTGCCACTGTTTGTCACTCTGATAAGCAGCGACACCTTTTCATAAGCGGTGTGTCTGGCGGTTTTCAGTACCGCTCTGCTCCCCACAACGTCCTCCCTTCCCCCTCCTGCCCCCACTCCCTCTGCCGCCCCACCTCCTAGCTCCCAGGGGCTGGGGAGCCTGCGCGGGGCGGACTCTGGGGAGTTCGCTTCCGGACTAATGTGACCCCGCCGCGGACTCGTAAGACCAAGCCGCGTCCCTCTGTCGCTAGGCAACGGCTGGCGCCCAGAGGGATTGAGGGCGGCGGGGCGCCATGGACCTGCTCATCACGCAGGAGCTGGCCCGCGCGGAGAGCCAGCAGGGTGGGCGGGGCCGGGGCGCTGAGACCCTCCTGCACCCTGGGGACCCCTCCTGATCGGGGTGTGCTGGGCCTGGGCGCGGGAACGGAGGCTGTGGTCTCCCACCGAGGCTGCACCGGCCGCCGCGCCGCTGGGCGGGGCCCTGCGGGGGAGGGGGGGGTCCTGGCGTTGGGGTGACCAGGCTGCGCAGCCACCCAGGGGCGCGGCCACGGGCTGCCAGCCTGACCCAGGCCCTCTTGGACCCCCTGTACTCACCAGCCTTTCTCAACGACTGTCCCCACAGACGCCGCCTCCCTGAAGAGGGCCTACGAGTTGATTAAGTCCGCCAACTTGGGGAAATCCGAGTTTGACCCCACGGAGAGCTTCAGCCCCGACCTGTTCGTCCTGTGCGCCGAACAGGCCCTGAAGGTCATTGTCCCGGGGCGAGTCCTGGGTTTCTGCTGGAAGCCGACGGACTGGGGCGGGCGCAGCGCCTGTGGGTGCCCACGGGAGACACTGCACAGCGCCTGTGGGTGCCCACGGCAGACACTGCACAGCGCCTGTGGGTGCCCACGGGAGACACTGCACAGCGCCTGTGGGTGCCCACGGGAGACACTGCACAGCGCCTGTGGGTGCCCACGGGAGACACTGCACAGCGCCTGTGGGTGCCCACGGGAGACACTGCACAGCGCCTGTGGGTGCCCACGGGAGACACTGCACAGCGCCTGTGGGTGCCCACGGGAGACACTGCACAGCGCCTGTGGGTGCCCACGGGATACACTGCACAGCGCCTGTGGGTGCCCACGGGAGACACTGCACAGCGCCTGTGGGTGCCCACGGCAGACACTGCACAGCGCCTGTGGGTGCCCACGGCAGACACTGCACAGCGCCTGTGGGTGCCCACGGGAGACACTGCACAGCGCCTGTGGGTGCCCACGGCAGACACTGCTGGACTGCCTGTCCCGGGCTCCTCCAGCTCCGCCCTGCTGTGGGAAGGAGGCAGCACCTGGGCGTTCTCTTGCAGATGGGGCTGCCCGAGGTCAGCGAGGACTGCATCCAGATGTACTTCAAGGTGAAGGGGCCAGTCACCCAGTTCATGGGCCGGGCGCACCTGTGCAGGGCCCAGCTGTGCGCCCCCACGTCCACGGAAAATCTGGTGAGAGCCAGTCCCTGGAGCCAGCGCCCTGCGTGTCCGTTTAGTTCTCGTGAACCGCGAGTCCTCCTGTGCAGCCTCCACGCTGTCAGGGCGGGGAGGTGCCCGCCGTCCTGAAATGATGCGCGTCTGTCCTACGGTACTTCTCCCGCGAGGTTGCTTCGATTCTCCTCCAAGTTCCATGTCTTGAATCACCGCAGTTAATATTTCACTCCCCCACCGCTTCCAACATTGTGTTGGGCTACACAAATCCTAGTGTGTTATATTGAGAGGTAAGTGACTAGAATCCTTTTCAGTGAGGGCTCCTGTTTGTTTTCTCCCCAAGCACTGGACGCTGACTCGCCTCCTGGTGGACATTTGACCTGTGTACCCTGGTGCCATGGTGTGCACCTGAGCCAGGCAGTGGGGAGCTTTCTGGGGAGAGGTGGAGGCTGCCCCAGAGCACACGCAGCTGCGGCCTCTGGTTGGGACCCACTCCGCTGGGCACGGCTGCCCAGCCAGTCTCTAGCGAGGCCCGGTGTTCACGGAGTGACCATGGGCGATGACTGATGTATCAGTGGCGAGTTGGATTTAATTGTGTGTTTTTTTATGTCTTAGGAGGAGTTTGAAAATTGTGTGACTCAGTACATGAAGGTGATCAACTTTGCAAAAGGAGAACCCAGGTGGATTATGGTTCTGTCCTTCCCAGCGGGGACTGTGTAAAGGTTTAGACCAGAATCTACCAAGTGGTCCTCTCTGTTCAGATTGCAGGGTATAGTCCTTGCTCTGGGTTTTAATGCACCTAGAGCCTCACACATGCCTCTAACGTAGAGCTGGGCCGCGGGCACAGTCCCGTAGCTGCAGCCTCTCTGGTTGGCGATTTCTGGGCCCTGCAGGTGCCTCGTGCCAGCTTCCTCTACAGGGCTTTCACCAGCCCCCGGGGTCTCTCAGGGGTTCAGCATCTCGGGTCCCTCCCTGCACTGCCCCCACTGGCCTGTCCTCCCCTGGCCACTACCTGGACCAAGGCCTCATGTCTGTGGAGGTGATTTGGCTGAGACTCTAGCATAAATCTTTGCTTAATTAATACTTGCTCCATCACAAGTAAATATTATTGAAACAGCTAAGCTTCCACACAGCCTATTTAGACAAGACACACCATTTAAAGGGAATTTCAGCATAAGTCCTGGGCTTGTTCACTCACTGTCCCACTACCTGCCATTGATGGCTTCCTCTGGGTGACTTCTGTAATAGGTACGGGGGGTGCAGGGCCCAGCCCCACAACTCTCCTTCAGCACGGACCTGCAGACAGGGAAGCCCAGTGGCCTCAAGCTAGAGCTTCTAAGGACAGTTGTTGTTTCAAGGGGACCATGCCCTGGAGCCATGAAGCAGGAGTGGTGGCGTAGTTGGGAAGGGCCCTAGTCACTGCTACATGCCAGGGGTTTTGGGGACACTTGCAGAATACCTGATGGGGGACCAGGAAGGAAGAGCGGCTTTGTCGTACTGCCAGTGCCCTGGGTCTGTCTTCTTCCTGGGTAATGGTGGTGATTAGCATCACTTGCACATCTAAGGGCCAGCGTAGAAGACTGCCAGGCACCTGGGGTCCCACAAGGCAGCCCCTCCGGAGAGGCTAGCAGTAAGAGAGGCGAATCAGCCGCTGTGATCCCGAACTCAACCCCCTTGGTGGCTCCCTGGAGCCCTCAGGGAGAAGCCCAGATTCTAAGGGGTGCCCTGACCCCCCACATTCCTCATTTTTGTACAAACACAGAGATTGCTCCCCAAAGGCTCTGCTCTCCTTCCTCAACCTGCCCAACTCTTTTCCTACTCTGCTCTCCTGGCTGATTCCTGGTCACTTTTTGGGTCTCAGCAGGATGTCACCTACTTCAGGAAGCCTTCCTTGATTTCCCCTGCTCTTGCCTATTCTTGTCTATCCCTTGGGAGCCAAAGGTGGCCTTGCTCAGTGGTATGTTTTCATGGGGAGCTAGTCACTTTGTGGAGTGACTGAATGAGTGAGGCACTCCCTAGTCTGGCATCAGGAGCCTGTGGCCGGGTAATTGTGGCTGGGGCTGAGCTGGAGCCAGGGTGCTGTCTGAGCAGGGCACCACAGCTGCCCCCAGGGAGGGCTGTGTATGTTTGCTCATGCCTTGTGGGCCATATGTCTCAGATGGGACTGCTGCCCTCTGCTGGGGACAGAGGGATCCAGGATTCCTCCAGAACAGGGCTGGGGGCAGGCTGTGCTCGGGCCACGTCTCAGACTTCCTCTTCTTGTGCCCCAGGTATTACTTCTTGGTCTATAATGCATCGGTCCTCTACTGGAGAATGCTGAGGCCCTTTCTCAAGCCTGGCTATTACCACTACCTGATCTCCAGCCTCTCCCAAATCGTGAGCGTGTTAAATCAGACCGAGGAGGAGGACAAGGACTGGCAGGCAGAGCTGATGCTGTGAGTGGAGGCGGCCCGCCCTGCGCTCCCTGGCCTGCCCTGCGCGCACCCAGGGGGTTGCTCATTCACAGTGTAGGTGCAGGTCACTGCTCCGACTCTGTAGTTAGAGTCGTGGTTTTGTGTGACTTGTCTGGAGATGTTTCCAAACTGTAGATGACATCATGTGGGTGTTACAACTGGACGTGTGTTTTTGACTCAAAAACAGGAAACGTGAGCCTGTGCCATCGTCCTGGCTCATGATTTTAAAAAGTTAGCTCAGTACATTGTGAATGTCGTAGGCGGTTTAGCGTAAAACTCAGCCAGAGCAGGAAGCGCGCGCAGAGCATGGCCACAAGGTGGCCTGAGACGCCACAGTGAGCCTGTCAGCAAGCGGTGCTTGTGCTTCAGGGGGGCGGGGGGTGGGGTGTCACGTGTTCCTGTGTTCAGGCAGTGCCACTGTAAGCCAGCGACTGGGTGAGCGTCTGCAGGGCCCAGAGGGTCTGCCCTGAAGCTGGAACCCCGGGTCTGCTCATGGCCATTGGCAGAGCCCTGGACAGAAAAGGCATCGACATGTGATCTTTTCAAGTGTCCCGTGTGACCGCACTTTGAACAATCTCTTTTCCCCGTCCCTGCCGGCCCATTGCTGCTGAGCCAGGCTGTGGCTGGGGTAGGAGCTGGCCTAGTGTGTTCCTTCCCAAAGTCGGTGAAACATGAAACTAAAATTATAATAGCCTGCTTATTCGAAATTTGCAACAGGAAATGGTTTCGTCAGGGCTTTCTCTCCACTACTGTTATGCGATCCAGGGAGCTTCTGGAGTGTTACCTACAAGCTGGGAGAAGAGAGGAGGCCGCGAAGTTTTGTGTCACCACAGCGCCGTTCATAAAAGCTCACGCGCCGCACAGATACCGACAGATGTTTTCTGTGATGGTGAGTCGGCAGGTTCAACGTGGAGACAGGAGTCGTTTTGTTCAGTGTCACTGTTCAGAAAACTGTAAAGGCAGCCTGCAGGTCCGTCCACTGAGGACACCAAACATGCAGATAAAACACAGCAAAACAGCTTTTCTTCATTGTGACTCTGAATGTTTTCTTTGTAACAGCATTGACTTTTATTTATTTAAAAATATTTTTTTTATTGATTTTTTTAGAGAGGGAGGAAGGGAGAGGGAGAGAGAGAGAGAGACATATTGATGAGAGAGGACATGCCCCCCACTGGGGATTTGGCCCACAACTGGGCATGTACCCTGACCGGGAATCGAACTGGCAACCTCTTGGAGCATGGGCTGACACTCAACCACTGAGCCACACAGGCCGGGTGTAACAACATTGCTTTTTATAAACAGCAGGAGATTTGTAAAGATGAGTAATTACCGTAACGGCATGCATGAAGGGCATTCGTAATCTTTTAAATTTTGTGTATATGAAATCAAGTTATATATGAAAAGCTAAATAATAAACATAATGAAAAGATACTTGCTAATTACAAATGTTAATGTTACAGAAGGAATATTTGCAAAGGAATAGCTAAATACAATATCGGACCTCTGCTTATTATTTGTTGAGACCCGAACTGATACCCTGTTCTGTTTTATAACAGGTACGACATGAACTGATGGACGAGCTTCACTTAGTGGAAGAAAAGAAGACTTCCGTCAGCCTGTCCGTCACTTTCCACATTAACAAGCTGAAAGGGCAAGTGTTCAGGGAGGGAGCACAGCAGCAGGATCTGCAGCGCCCTCTCTGCAAGTTCAGGGAGGGAGCACAGCAGCAGGATCTGCAGCGCCCTCTGCAAGTTCAGGGAGGGAGCACAGGAGCAGGATCTGCAGTGCACTCTCTGCAAGTTCAGGGAGGGAGCACAGCAGCAGGATCTGCAGCGCCCTCTGCAAGTTCAGGGAGGGAGCACAGGAGCAGGATCTGCAGCGCCCTCTCTGCAAGTTCAGGGAGGGAGCACAGGAGCAGGACCTGCAGCGCCCTCTCTGCAAGTTCAGGGAGGAGAACAGGAGCAGGATCTGCAGCGCCCTCTGCAAGTTCAGGGAGGGAGCACAGGAGCAGGATCTGCAGCGCCCTCTCTGCAAGTTCAGGGAGGGAGCACAGGAGCAGGATCTGCAGTGCACTCTCTGCAAGTTCAGGGAGGAGCACAGGAGCAGGATCTGCAGTGCACTCTCTACAAGTTCAGGGAGGAGAACAGGAGCAGGATCTGCAGTGCACTCTCTGCAAGTTCAGGGAGGAGAACAGGAGCAGGATCTGCAGTGCACTCTCTGCAAGTTCAGGGAGGAGCACAGGAGCAGGATCTGCAGTGCACTCTCTACAAGTTCAGGGAGGAGCACAGGAGCAGGATCTGCAGCGCCCTCTGCAAGTTCAGGGAGGGAGCACAGCAGCAGGATCTGCAGCGCCCTCTCTGCAAGTTCAGGGAGGGAGCACAGCAGCAGGATCTGCAGCGCCCTCTCTGCAAGTTCAGGGAGGGAGCACAGCAGCAGGATCTGCAGCGCCCTCTCTGCAAGTTCAGGGAGGGAGCACAGGAGCAGGATCTGCAGCGCCCTCTCTGCAAGTTCAGGGAGGGAGCACAGCAGCAGGATCTGCAGCGCCCTCTCTGCAAGTTCAGGGAGGGAGCACAGGAGCAGGATCTGCAGTGCCCTCTCTGCAAGTTCAGGGAGGGAGCACAGCAGCAGGATCTGCAGCGCCCTCTCTGCAAGTTCAGGGAGGGAGCACAGGAGCAGGATCTGCAGTGCCCTCTGCAAGTTCAGGGAGGGAGCACAGCAGTAGGATCTGCAGTGCCCTCTGCAAGTTCAGGGAGGGAGCACAGGAGCAGGATCTGCAGTGCACTCTCTGCAAGTTCAGGGAGGGAGCACAGGAGCAGGATCTGCAGCGCCCTCTCTGCAAGTTCAGGGAGGGAGCACAGGAGCAGGATCTGCAGTGCCCTCTGCAAGTTCAGGGAGGGAGCACAGCAGCAGGATCTGCAGTGCACTCTCTGCAAGTTCAGGGAGGGAGCACAGCAGTAGGATCTGCAGTGCCCTCTGCAAGTTCAGGGAGGGAGCACAGGAGCAGGATCTGCAGCGCCCTCTGCAAGTTCAGGGAGGGAGCACAGCAGCAGGATCTGCAGTGCCCTCTGCAAGTTCAGGGAGGGAGCACAGCAGCAGGATCTGCAGTGCCCTCTGCAAGTTCAGGGAGGGAGCACAGCAGCAGGATCTGCAGTGCACTCTCTGCAAGTTCAGGGAGGGAGCACAGCAGCAGGATCTGCAGCGCCCTCTCTGCAAGTTCAGGGAGGGAGCACAGGAGCAGGATCTGCAGCGCCCTCTCTGCAAGTTCAGGGAGGGAGCACAGCAGCAGGATCTGCAGCGCCCTCTCTGCAAGTTCAGGGAGGGAGCACAGGAGCAGGATCTGCAGTGCCCTCTCTGCAAGTTCAGGGAGGGAGCACAGCAGCAGGATCTGCAGCGCCCTCTCTGCAAGTTCAGGGAGGGAGCACAGGAGCAGGATCTGCAGTGCCCTCTGCAAGTTCAGGGAGGGAGCACAGCAGTAGGATCTGCAGTGCCCTCTGCAAGTTCAGGGAGGGAGCACAGGAGCAGGATCTGCAGTGCACTCTCTGCAAGTTCAGGGAGGGAGCACAGGAGCAGGATCTGCAGCGCCCTCTCTGCAAGTTCAGGGAGGGAGCACAGGAGCAGGATCTGCAGTGCCCTCTGCAAGTTCAGGGAGGGAGCACAGCAGCAGGATCTGCAGTGCACTCTCTGCAAGTTCAGGGAGGGAGCACAGGAGCAGGATCTGCAGTGCCCTCTCTGCAAGTTCAGGGAGGGAGCACAGCAGCAGGATCTGCAGTGCACTCTCTGCAAGTTCAGGGAGGGAGCACAGCAGCAGGATCTGCAGTGCCCTCTCTGCAAGTTCAGGGAGGGAGCACAGGAGCAGGATCTGCAGTGCCCTCTGCAAGTTCAGGGAGGGAGCACAGCAGCAGGATCTGCAGTGCACTCTCTGCAAGTTCAGGGAGGGAGCACAGCAGTAGGATCTGCAGTGCCCTCTGCAAGTTCAGGGAGGGAGCACAGGAGCAGGATCTGCAGCGCCCTCTGCAAGTTCAGGGAGGGAGCACAGCAGCAGGATCTGCAGTGCCCTCTGCAAGTTCAGGGAGGGAGCACAGCAGCAGGATCTGCAGTGCCCTCTGCAAGTTCAGGGAGGGAGCACAGCAGCAGGATCTGCAGTGCACTCTCTGCAAGTTCAGGGAGGGAGCACAGCAGCAGGATCTGCAGTGCCCTCTGCAAGTTCAGGGAGGAGCACAGGAGCAGGATCTGCAGCGCCCTCTCTGCAAGTTCAGGGAGGAGAACAGGAGCAGGATCTGCAGCGCCCTCTGCAAGTTCAGGGAGGGAGCACAGCAGTAGGATCTGCAGTGCACTCTCTGCAAGTTCAGGGAGGGAGCACAGCAGCAGGATCTGCAGTGCACTCTCTGCAAGTTCAGGGAGGAGAACAGGAGCAGGATCTGCAGCGCCCTCTGCAAGTTCAGGGAGGGAGCACAGGAGCAGGATCTGCAGCGCCCTCTGCAAGTTCAGGGAGGGAGCACAGGAGCAGGATCTGCAGTGCACTCTCTGCAAGTTCAGGGAGGGAGAACAGCAGCAGGATCTGCAGTGCCCTCTGCAAGTTCAGGGAGGGAGCACAGCAGCAGGATCTGCAGTGCCCTCTGCAAGTTCAGGGAGGGAGAACAGCAGCAGGATCTGCAGTGCCCTCTGCAAGTTCAGGGAGGGAGCACAGCAGCAGGATCTGCAGTGCACTCTCTGCAAGTTCAGGGAGGGAGCACAGCAGCAGGATCTGCAGTGCCCTCTGCAAGTTCAGGGAGGGAGCACAGGAGCAGGATCTGCAGTGCCCTCTGCAAGTTCAGGGAGGGAGCACAGGAGCAGGATCTGCAGTGCCCTCTCTGCAAGTTCAGGGAGGGAGCACAGGAGCAGGATCTGCAGCGCCCTCTCTGCAAGTTCAGGGAGGGAGCACAGCAGTAGGATCTGCAGTGCACTCTCTGCAAGTTCAGGGAGGGAGCACAGCAGCAGGATCTGCAGCGCCCTCTCTGCAAGTTCAGGGAGGGAGCACAGCAGCAGGATCTGCAGTGCACTCTCTGCAAGTTCAGGGAGGGAGCACAGGAGCAGGATCTGCAGTGCCCTCTCTGCAAGTTCAGGGAGGGAGAACAGGAGCAGGATCTGCAGCGCCCTCTCTGCAAGTTCAGGGAGGGAGCACAGCAGCAGGATCTGCAGTGCCCTCTGCAAGTTCAGGGAGGAGCACAGGAGCAGGATCTGCAGCGCCCTCTCTGCAAGTTCAGGGAGGAGAACAGGAGCAGGATCTGCAGCGCCCTCTGCAAGTTCAGGGAGGGAGCACAGGAGCAGGATCTGCAGCGCCCTCTGCAAGTTCAGGGAGGGAGCACAGGAGCAGGATCTGCAGTGCCCTCTGCAAGTTCAGGGAGGGAGCACAGCAGCAGGATCTGCAGTGCCCTCTGCAAGTTCAGGGAGGGAGAACAGCAGCAGGATCTGCAGTGCCCTCTGCAAGTTCAGGGAGGGAGCACAGCAGCAGGATCTGCAGTGCACTCTCTGCAAGTTCAGGGAGGGAGCACAGCAGCAGGATCTGCAGTGCCCTCTGCAAGTTCAGGGAGGGAGCACAGGAGCAGGATCTGCAGTGCCCTCTGCAAGTTCAGGGAGGGAGCACAGGAGCAGGATCTGCAGTGCCCTCTCTGCAAGTTCAGGGAGGGAGCACAGGAGCAGGATCTGCAGCGCCCTCTCTGCAAGTTCAGGGAGGGAGCACAGCAGTAGGATCTGCAGTGCACTCTCTGCAAGTTCAGGGAGGGAGCACAGCAGCAGGATCTGCAGCGCCCTCTCTGCAAGTTCAGGGAGGGAGCACAGCAGCAGGATCTGCAGTGCACTCTCTGCAAGTTCAGGGAGGGAGCACAGGAGCAGGATCTGCAGTGCCCTCTCTGCAAGTTCAGGGAGGGAGAACAGGAGCAGGATCTGCAGCGCCCTCTCTGCAAGTTCAGGGAGGGAGCACAGCAGCAGGATCTGCAGTGCCCTCTGCAAGTTCAGGGAGGAGCACAGGAGCAGGATCTGCAGCGCCCTCTCTGCAAGTTCAGGGAGGAGAACAGGAGCAGGATCTGCAGCGCCCTCTGCAAGTTCAGGGAGGGAGCACAGGAGCAGGATCTGCAGCGCCCTCTGCAAGTTCAGGGAGGGAGCACAGCAGCAGGATCTGCAGTGCCCTCTGCAAGTTCAGGGAGGGAGCACAGCAGCAGGATCTGCAGTGCCCTCTGCAAGTTCAGGGAGGGAGCACAGGAGCAGGATCTGCAGTGCCCTCTCTGCAAGTTCAGGGAGGAGAACAGGAGCAGGATCTGCAGCGCCCTCTGCAAGTTCAGGGAGGGAGCACAGGAGCAGGATCTGCAGTGCCCTCTCTGCAGGGGTGGTGGCTGTGCCCCTGGGGATGGAGCTACAGGACAGCCCTTCAGGGAGGCTTCCACACCACGTGAGGCTTCAGACTTGGCCAGGAAATTGAGCAGGACTAGAGGAGCTTGTGGGTGAAGCCCTGCTGGAGTGAGCTGGAGGTCCGAGGGAGGACCGGTGCCCAGGCAGAGCCCCGCTGCAGTGGAGGGTGGGGGAGAGGCCGGCGTGTGCAAGATGCAGGGGAGGGAGGGGCCTGGGGCCTGGCGCAGCCAGTGGGAAGGTCCTGGCATCCCGGACGTGGGCCCTGTGAGTGCGGCTGGCCTGGCGGAAGGGCTGGTGCGCAGTGGCCCTGGTGGTGGCCTTTCCAGTGACGTAGGAAGAGCTGGGCCTGCAGTGAGGGCAGGACGAGCGCAGAGTGTGCGGGAGCCAACGGGGGAAGGGAGGCGGGTTCATCGTAGGCTCCATGGGAAAAACAGGTTCATGGACTTAGAGTTCTTTAAGCTAATTTGAATACACCTGGCAGGAGTTTGGTTATTTAATGTTTGAATTAATTCTAGAAAATTGGATAAACATCATATACCTGAAGACGCCAACAAAGTTCTGAAGAACACCTATAAGCAGCTGAGTCACTATAATCACCAGCGCTTCCCTTCCATCCGAGAGGAGAAGTAAGTGGCCGAGGGTCGCAGTTTCACAGCTGCGCCGGACAGGGCGCGTGTGGCGAGCACGGGAGGCCGGGAGGATCCGAAGGCACCCCGACTTCCCACCAAGCGCCAGCCACGCGGCAGTTTCCGTCTGTCTGTCTCCTCTGGGTCTGTTTGTCCCGAGGTCTGTACCGTTGGGGGAGCACTGGGATATGTAACTTCACGTTGTACTTTTGAAAATCAAGTCTAGCCCTGGCCGGTTTGGCTCAGCGGTTAGAGCGTCGGCCTGTGGTCCAGAGAGACCCGGGTTCGGTTCCCGCTAAGGGCACGTACCCCGGTTGCAGTTTGTCCCCGGCCCTGGTTGGTCATGTGGGTGGCAGCCACTCGATGTGTCCCTTTCACATTGATGTTTCTCTCTCTCTCTCCCTCCAACTCTATCTGAACAAAAAAATGGGAAAATGTCCTCAGGTGAGGATAAAAAAGAAAATCAAGTTTAACTCTGGCAAAAGTACTTTTCAAGTTCTTAAAAGATCTCACACCTTCCTGACTCTCTGTGAGCCATTTCTGCAGGTGGGAGCCCCCCCCCCCCACATGTTAACTTCTTAGCTCTGTGCAGCCCTCCCTCCCGAATCCCCCCAGCCTGTTCAGAGTTTAGGGTGATCCTGATTGGAGTTCCCAGAAGTAGGACTTCACAGGGGGTCGCAGCTCCTCCGGGAGGTCAGTGTTACATGCACGTGTTGGTGTGTGCGTTTTCTGAAAGGGGCATCCTCTGTCCCCACCGGGCACCCCCTGGGGGCCTCGCTGTCCCCGGAGTGGCTGGGAACTTGGCAAAACACGCACCAGGGCGCTGTTCCCACCTACCCTGCGGTGCAGCCTCTCCTCGTGGGCCTGTGAGGCCCCTCCAGACTTGAGACGGTCCCTCCCTCCTGGCCTCGACGTGGGGACTTGCAGCTCCGCCCTAGAGGATGTCCACAGCAGCTGTGACATTTAAGTCTCCTTGGCGGTTCAGTGCGGTCAGCATCTCGCGGCTGCTCCTTGGCCCGGAAGAGAAGGTGTGTCCTCTGCTTGCTGGGGACACGGGCTCAGCCGCCTGCTGTGGGCTTCAGATTCTTCCTGTGCCCGACCCTAGGGTCCCTGCTGCCACCTCGGGTGGGGGAAAATCATTCGGTTAAAACCAGGAAGAACTAAAACCAGCAATTCCTACCTTTGTGGGTTCTTCCTTCTCACCTGTGCCACAGGCCCGTGTGGCCAGAGCTCTGGGAGGGCAGAGGTCAGTCCAGGGGCGGGGTGGGCAAGGACGGTGGGGACCCTGGGACCACACCCCTACCCAAGGCTGGGACATTTGTATTCCTGTTACGACAGTGCCAGGTGTTAGGAAAGGGCAGGAAGGGTGTGGGCTTAGCCCCAGGGGCATTGGCTGGGTCTGGGAACACTGCTGCTGGTGGCCGTATGGGACAGCTCTGGCTGGCCTCCCGGGGACTCTCAGCATCCTGCCGTCACAGGACAGGTCCCCCGCCCAACAAGAATGACCTGGTCCAGACGTCAGAGCCGAGAAACCTAGCCTGTCTTATACCAGGCCACTACCTGCAGTCTGACAACTTTGCATTGTCCTACTGTCAGGTAGTTGAGTCCCCCGACTTTGTCCCTTTTCAAGTTGCTCAGACCATCATAGGTCCTCGGCATTTTCATGTAAATTTTTATTTTATTTTAAATATGTTTTTTATTTTAAAATTTTATTTATTGATTTTAGAGCGAGAGAGGAAGGAAGAGAGAGGGAGAACGCACTTACCTATGCGTTCATTGGTTGGTTCTTACATGTGCCCTGACCAGGGATCGAACACGAAAGCTCGGTGTATCAGAAAGACTCTCTAACCAAGTTAACTTCTAGCAACAGCCTGCCGGTTCCTGCAAAGACCCTGACTGGTGACGCAGATGCTCTTGGCGACACCCCCAGATGCTCGCTGCAGAGCTTCGAGTCAGGAGATGCATGCCTATCCCCATGTCGCCACCACTCCTGTGATGGTTCTGCCAGGGACATGGCGGCTGAGCTGCTGCACGCGGTGTCTGTCCTCGGCCTCCCCCAGACCACCTTGCACCTGCCCAGAGGCCGAGGAAGAGAGCAGGTCGCCAGAGGTGCAGCCCTGTGATGCCTGTCAAATCCTGCGCCAGGGCCCCAGGAGGCTGGGCTTGGGGGCCCTGGCTGCAGGGTCGCTATGCGTTCTATTCTTTTTAAAAAACAAAATTTATTGCCCGGCCAGTGTGGCTCAGTGGATTGAGCATCGTCTCATGGACGGAGAGGTCTGGTTCGATTTCTGGTCAGGGCACAGGCCTGGGTTGTGGGCTTGATCCCCAGTAGGAGGCGTGCAGGAGGCAGCCGATCAATGTTTTTTTTTTTTTTTTTTTAATCCTCACCCGAGGATATTTTTCCATTTTTTGTACAGATAGAGTGGGAGGGAGAGAGAGGAAGGGAGAGAGAGAGAGAGAGAAACATCGACGTGAAGGGACACATCGAGTGGCTGCCACCCGCACGACCAACCAGGGCCGGGGACAAACTGCAACCGAAGTACGTGCCCTTAGCGGGAACCGAACCCGGGTCTCTCCGGACCGCAGGCCAACGCTCTAACCGCTGAGCCAAACTGGCCAGGGCTCAATGTTTCTTTTTCACATCAATGTTTCTCTCTTTCTCTCCTCCTTAAAAAAATCAATAAAAACATTAAAAAACAAAATTTATTGATTGATTTTAGAAAGAGAGAGGTAGGGGGTAGAGGAGAGAGAGAGAGAGAGAAACGTCAGTTTGTTGTTCCATTTATCTATGCATTCATTGGTTGATTCTTGTATGTGCCCTGACCGGGGATCAAACCCTCACCCTTGGCACATTGGGATGACGCTCTAACCAACTGAGCTGCCCGGCCAGGGCTGTGTGTTCTCGTCTCCCTCCTTCCTCGACGAGTGACGACCGGATGCCCGTCCTCCCACGCGGGCATCTTCCCAGCACCCTGTTGACGCATTGCTTCTCTGCTTCTGGTTGCAGAATCGTCCTGCTTTTTGAATTAGCTTATCTTGCTTTGACCTTGAAATGTGAGAACATTTCCTCCAGCTGCCTCGCAGACTTGAAGAAAATGGACAGCAAAGTAAGTGGCCCGTGACCGAGGGTGGCCGGCCCCTGCCCACTGTGATCTGCACAGAAAGGGGAGGGAAGGGAAGGGCTTGGGACCCCAGGGGGCACGTTTCCCTCTGTCTTTGCTGTGTGCCCCTTAGGTGGGGAGGCATGAGTCCCCCGTGCCCCTTCCCTTGTTCTGTCTTCAGAAGCGCTGGCCCAGTTGCCACCAGGTGTCTCTGCAACGCGCTCCAGTGTTTTGTCGTGTTCACAGTCCACAGCTTCCTCTCCGGCCTGTTACTGGACATTCAAATTCGGTTCTTTTCTGCCCGTTACAGAGAGCTCTGTGGGGAGCACTTCGCGCCTGAGCGCTCCTGTGCACTTAGGGTTCCCCCCGAGTTTACTGACACGAAGTCACTAGGCAGTCCTCACTTTTAAGATTTTATAACACACCCCATAGCATTGCCCTCCAAAGAAAAAGTTCCTGAGAAGGCATGCTTCAGGTTTATTTGTTTTTAACTTAAGAAGCTGTGAAAAGTCTCTCCCACAGCGCGAAGGCTTGTTTCAGCAGATAAACTGGATTAAAATGAAGAACTTGGCCCTTTGAATGAAACTTAAGAAAAGGAAGATATAAGGCAGATCCTGAAAGAAGGTTTTTCACATCTCCTGTCTGATAAAGGACAGTGTCCGGAATATATAGAGAACGCCACATACTCAGGAAAACAAACCAGCCTGACAAATGCAGAGGATCTGAGCAGACGTCCCCGCTGAACATGAGGTGCAGGAAAGACAGACGCTGACCACCACGAGTTGCAGTGCTCACTGCTGTGTTTGGGGAAACCTCGTTTTCTTCTCCCGTGTGTTTTCTCCCTTGTTTTCACACCGCACACGTCACTCCTGGACACTCCTGGTCACCCAATGTGCGGAGGTTTTTCCCGCACCAGGAATTCTCCAACCCCAGCTGCGTCTCCTGCAACTGCACTCGCTCGGCCACTGTGTCCCTGGGAGAGTGACAGACCCACAGGTGAAGGCTCAGTCCACGAGGCTGCCCCCTCTCAGACGCAGTTCTAAGTGCTCAGTCCCCAGGAGACCCACAGTTTCTGCCAGATGTGGCTACGGATTGGGCTTTCCCATGACCCTCTCCTCAAGTTCGAGTAATTGGCTGAGGGGGCTCAGAGAACTCGGAGAAACACGCTTACGGTTTATTATATAGGACACGGTGAAGGACCCAGAGGATCAGCCAGATGAAGGGCACCCCAGATGAGGCCTGGGAGGGTCCTGGACACAGGACTGTCCGGCGGAGCTGGGGTGTGCCGCCCTCCCGGTATGGGGGTTCGCCGGCCTGGAAACTGGCGGGATGTTCACGGAGGCTTCATCACGCAGGCGCCGTCCATGATCCACCCCGTGCCCGGCCCGGGCCCCCCTCGAGAGAACCCTCCCAGCTGAAAGGGGCCAGCTTCTGACCAAGGCCTGTTCTTCCCAGAACCAGCCCCTCCAGGAGCCACCCAGGGCCCCGCCCACAGTTGCCTCATATCCCAAGTGCTCCTGTTCCTTGGGGTGTACGGGGTTTTAGGAGCCCGTGTGGGGGCCAGGGGAGACCTCCGTGTATGTTATCTCGCGACTGCTCTCCTGTGGGCTGGGGCGGACGGAGGAAGGCCTGGCATGCGCAGGATGCCGGGGATGCGCGTCCCTTGGGGAACACCCGCAGCTTTGTACAAAGTGGTTTCACGGCCTCCCCCAGCAGGCGGGACCCTGGCCCGCAGGGAGCAAGCCACCGAGGGTCACCTGCCCAAACTCAACAGAGTTCATTCAAAAACTCAGTGTCCCCACTAGGCTGGGGAAGGCAGGAGGGGGTAGGAATGGGAAGGAGGGGGCAATGGGAAAAAATGGAGACACCTGTAATACTGTCAACAATAAAACAACAATAATAAAAAGATATGCACATTTAGGGGGAAAAATTCAATATCCATAGACATGAACTGTATTTCAATATCCATAGACATGAACTGTATTTCCCACTCTATTAAGGAGGTAAAAAATGTTTTTTCCCTTTCTCACTTAAATCTTTGCCTCCTTTGTAAACACTTTAAGTCTATTTTTGTGTTATGATTTCTGTTTGTTGAATCCCTACCTGGTACATTAAATTGTCATTTAAATGGCCTCTGGAGTAAAGAATGCGCACGGTTGCTTTTGTAAAAATCTCCCCATTTGTGTTCTGCAGGATCCTGGGAAGCTGATCGAAATCGAATGCCTGGAGTACGAATTAGAAGCTTTGAGACTCGAGAATAAAATGAAAATCTACGTCCGCGCAGCTGTGGAGGTGAGCCCCGGGCAGGAGGCGCGGGCTGCGTTTGGGCCTCCTGCAGGTCGCGAGAGCTGCGTCTGTGTCCCGCTTGGTCTCACCCTGGCTCTGCCATCGGCTCCTGTGTGACAGGCATGAGGCCAGCCCACGGGGCCTCCGTTTCTCACCTGTGAACATGGCCTCTCTGGTAGGAACCGCGGGGGCTGGGTTGGCACCTGAGTCACCATACTTACAGCTCTGAGCACGGTCCTCCCTGGCTCCCAGGGCCACCTCGGCCTGGAAGGCGTGTTTGGGGCAAGGGGCTGGGGGCTGGAATGAGACTCTCCTCTGGCTGAGCCCTGCTGTGGCCTGTGTGGAGCCTCCTGCCCCACCCCCATGCACACTGATAACACTTGCCCTTGGTGAAGGTCCCCGTGTCCCCATGAGAACTCTTTGCCATCTTGACTCGTGTCCAGGAAGGCCAAAGTCACTCCCTGCCGTAGTGTGGGCTTGTCAGGCTCCTTGGGCCTAGAAACCTGGGGGCTCCAGGGATAAGGTCATTGCAAAGGACAGGGCAGGTGGGGACCCCGGGGAGGAGAGCCGGAGACCCCAGAGGTGGAGAGGTGGTGACAGCCACGTGAGCAAGCCCAAACGGAGCATGACGATCCGCCAGGTGGCGCTGAATGTGCCAACTGTGATGACCTTCTCCAGGGAGGTTGTGGAGCCCTGATGGCTGTTGTGGCTTAGTGCCTGGCACCTGGTGGCCCTGGACACGTTGTCTGATCATGATCCGCAGCAGAGGCGGGTGTGTGCGTGGTGCTGGCTAAAGGGTGACTGCACCTGGTCCCTCCACCTGCTGGGGCCTCAGGCTGCACCCGGTCCCTCTCATCTGTCTGCTGGGGCCTCAGGCCGCACCCGGTCCCTCTCATCTGTCTGCTGGGGCCTCAGGCTGCACTGGGTCCCCTCCCCTGCCTGCTGGGGCCTCAAGCTGGGAGCTTTTGGGTTTGTGAGGCTTTGATGACCTGCCCTAGCAACCAGGTGGCATGGGGTCAGGAGTTCCAAGTGTGGGCTGAACCCCCTGGCCCGGGAGTAGCTGAGGGGAGCCCTGAGGGCCCTGGGGAGGGCATGAAGTGGTGAGGCCAGCAGCACAGGTTCCAAAATGCCGCCACCAGACCTGTCTGCTGGGCAGTGCACATGTAGCGCAGAGCAGAGGACGTGGACTCTGGGTAACACAGATAATGGGGCACAGGCCCATTAAATATGCAAGACCAGGAAATCAGCAGACTTCAGTCAGTTCACAGACAAGTGCAGCCACAGGTGTGCGGAGCTCATTCTAAGCCATTTACAAAGGTGCCTTTAAGGCAAGCAGTTCCTTCTAGAAAAGATCTCATAGGCCATCTCCACAGACTGACCATGGGCCCCACTTGCTGCCTCCTGACCCTCAAACTTCCCAGGCTAGGGGTCCACCCAAGGTCCACCTGAAGCAGATGTCTGGTACTCGTCTTCCAAGCTCCCAAACTGGGCAATGTCTTTTGTGCAGACCCAGCTGAATTTAATACAGAGGCTGGACATTGTGCTGCAGCGAGCCATCCGCCTGGGCGACCCCCAGATCATCCAGGTGGTGTGCACCACCCAGTGGAACCTGTGTCTCCCTCTGCTGCAGCACAACCTGCGGCACCACCTGCGGAAGCCGCTGACCAGCATCGCGGACATCCTGGAGAAGGTGGACAGGTAGCTGTGACTGTGTCCCGGGCTGTCCCCTCAGAGAGGAGCAACACGTTGGAGAGAGAGGGTGTGGGCAGAATCCTTCCACACCAGGGATGAAGATGAAATCCAGCTCATTTCCCCCAAAGTGCCGCAGGGAGGATGCGCCTGGCTTTAAAGAGGGCTGGAGTGGCCCTGGCCAGTTTGGCTCAGCGGTTAGAGTGTCGGCCTGCGGTCCGGAGAGACCCGGGTTCGGTTCCCGCTAAGGGCATGTACCTCGGTTGCAGTTTGTCCCCGGCCCTGGTTGGGTCGTGTGGGTGGCAACCACTTGATGTGTCCCTTTCACGTCGATGTCTCTCTCTCTCTTTCTCTCTCCCTCCCACTCTATCTGAACAAAATATCGAAAAAAATGCCCTCGGGTGAGGATAAAAAAAAAAAAGAGGGCTGGAGTGGCTGTGGAGCCATAAGGCCCACAGTTGGTCCCAAGCAGGGTCAGGCTGCCCTCAACACCTGCTCACATCAACCAACGGCCAGTGTGGGCCCACGACCTCGGGGACAGACAGACAACCAGGTTTCGGTCAGACTCCCGAAAGCCCACGCCAGCACATGCCCTGTGCTCCACGAGCTCCGATGGCAGGACCTGCCATGGCCCAGGCGTGGCCCGCTGTTGGCCGTGAGCCAGTGTGTACTCACCTGGTGTCTGGAATGCTCACAGGCCAGGTGGGCACTGGGGTTCCCCAAGCAGTGTGATGACCAGGGCCACGTCCTTCTGCCCTCAGGGTTGAGTCGTTCATCACACAGGACTGAGCACTGGTCTGGGGCCAGGTACCATGCCAGGCCCCAGAGATGCACAGTGCAGGGATGCGGCCAAAGCACTTCCCTGAACATCTACACCTGCACCTCCATCTGTGCTTCTATCTACAACCACAGCTACACTGATACCTATACCTACATTCGCCTAACACCTACACCTACACTCACCTCTACACCTATACCTACACCTACATCACACCTACACCCACCTCTATACCTACACCTACATCACACCTACACTCACCTCTACACCTATACCTACACCTACATCACACCTACACCCACCTCTATACCTACACCTACATCACACCTACACCCACCTCTACACCTATACCTACACCTATACCTACACCTACTTCACACCTACACTCACCTCTATACCTATACCTACACCTACATCACACCTACACCCACCTCTACACCTATACCTACACCTATACCTACACCTACTTCACACCTACACTCACCTCTATACCTATACCTACACCTACATCACACCTACACCCACCTCTACACCTATACCTACACCTACATCACACCTACACTCACCTCTACATCTATACCTACACTTACATCACACCCATACTTCTATACCTATAGTTATATCCACACCTATACCCACACCTACATCTACACCTACATTTACCTCTACACCTGTACTTACATACACACCTATACCTACACCTACTTCTATACCTATACCTACACCTACACCTACTTCTACACCTATACTTATATCAACACCTATACCTACACCTACTTCTACACCTGTACTATACCCACTTCTACACCTATACCTACACCTATACCTATACCTACTTCTACACCTATACTTACATCCACACCTATACCTACATCTACACCTACACTTACATCTGCACCTACACCAATATCTACACCTACACCTATAGTTATACTTCATCTACACCTACCCATACATCTCTGTCTACTCCTCACTTACACCTATATGTACATCTACTTCTACACCCACGTATCACCACGCTGTTAATAGGCCAGGTGAATTAAGTGTAGGAAGGCCCTCACAGCAGGTAGTTGGGAAGGGGTAAAGGGATGCAGCCTTAGGCAGGGTGGTCCCCTTTGGCTGCTGAGCCGCTGACCTCACTCAGAGACGAGGCAGAGGGGAGGGGACTGGGCACTGAGGAGGATGAAGGCCAGGAGCAGAGCCCCACAGAAGGCTGGATCCAGAGCTTGTCAAGGCCCCGGGGCTGTGTGTTATCCTGAACGAGGGGGTGGGCATCAGAGCACAGAGGAGGGGGCTTCAGTTGTCCCACGATGGCTCTGCTGCCGTTGAGAATGGTCTGTGGACAAAGCTGGTGGCGGGAGTCCAGGCAAGAGATGATGGAGCAGAGGTGGGCAGGTGCCACGTGAGAGTCTCGGGGGACCGAATGGAGGAAGCTGGGCAGAGCGGGCATGGGCATGAGGGTGTCAGGGGCTCACAACCCCTCCCTGACGTCCCTAGCTGGAGAGACCTGGAGCCATCCTTGGAAGGCAGCGGGCTGTGGGACTTAGGGGCAGCCCTGCAGGGAAGAGCCTGGAGGTCTTCTGGGACTCCAGAAAGAGAGGAAACCCAAGGCAACACCCCCTTTGAGGTTGGGGATCTGGGAAGGAACAGGCAGGGCCTCGGTAGGCGGACGCGGGTCCAAGCCAGCTGGGAAAGTGCTTTATCCGGGGGGTCCTGGCTGCAGCAGCTGGGGGTGATGCCAGGTGGGCACAGGGCCTGTTGAAGCAGGTGTAGAAGAGCAGGGACGGGGGGGGGGGATGGCCTGGGAAGCCCTGTGCTGGCGAGAGGGCCATGAGTGGTAGAGCCCACGACTGTGTTCCGGGTTTGTTTTGCTCTCAGCAGGAGGTATCATAGCTTTGGGATGCTGCAGAATGACCCAGCAGACAAGGGGGCTCACTCTTGCAGGGGGAGCAGGTGTATGAGAGGGGCTTCCTATTGCTCTGGTTTTGGAGAGAAATGAGCGAAAGGGAGGCCGAAAGATGGGGATTTGGAGTGTGAGCAGAGAAGGGACGGTGTAGAGGGTCACCCAGGAGGATGAGTGCCAACAGCAAGGAGGGCCATGGGATTTGGACACAGACTGCAGGGCGGGGCCATGGGGGGAGCTGCCGTGCCTCGTTGGGTCCTGTGACTGATTAAGGGCAGGCTTTGCCACCTGGATGAGGGCCCTGGCACACGGGGCAGAGGAGGCCCAGGGCCCTCACTTCCTGTCCCTCCTCTTCGAGTTCTCCTCCTCCCGGTGTGAAGCATCCCAAGCTCAGATTTTCTTCAGTCCATAAGTTCTCTTGTTTTACAAATTCTCTAAGTCAGTCTTCTCTTTAGCTTGTCTTTTAAAAAATGATTTTATTTCTTATTTACAACATCTTTGTAGTTTATTTTCATATTTGCCTGATTTAAAAAATAACTTCCAGTTGCCTTCTTTTTCTCTGATCATTCTTTTCCTAATCAACTTTATTGAGATATAATAGCATACAAAAGACTGCACACATTTAAAATGTCTGGCTTGCTGAGTTGTTTTTAAAAAATCATGGATGGGTGTTGTATATCGTAGAATGTTTTTTTCTGCATCTATTAATATAATCATGTGACTTTTCTCTTTCGTTCTTTAATGTGGAGAATTATACTGATTGGGTTTTGGGTGTCGAACCAACCTTGCATTCTCTACATGGTCCTGAGTATCCGCTTTGTTAGCTATTTCAGGTCTGATTTTCTGGTGTTTGGCTGAAGCTCTCTGTGTGTATGTTCATGAGGATGTTGGTCTATGAATTTATTCCTTTGTAATGTTTCTGTCAGGTTTTGACATCAAGGCCATGCTGACTTTACAAAATGAATTGGGAAGTGGGGAAGTATTTTTTTCTCCTTTGCTTAGTGGAGGAGTTTGTGTACTATTGGTGTTTTCTTCCTTGAATGTTTTATAGAATCCAATGAAACTCTGTGTCTGGGGGCTGTGCTGCACGGTCAGGTTTCTGTGGGAAGGTTTTCGAGCTGACACGCTCCCTGTAGGTGTCGAATGCTAAGGAAATCCTGCCAGCAGCTGAAGGCATTGTTGTCCCTGTTGAAGGTATCTCAGTGGCTCTTGTCAGTGTCCCCACATTTGCCGATCCTGTGCTCAGGTCTTCTGGCTCCCGATTTCTTGTCTTCTGGTTCCAGCCATTCCCGAGAGGAGTGTGAAACTCCAGCTCTAACCATCAGCATCTCCCACTCCCTGTAGCTCTCAGCTTTGCTCATGTGATTGGAAATACTGAGTCACACACATTCGGGATGGCTGTCTTCTTGTGCCCTCTTTGTCTCTGGTGACTCCCTGGTCCTGAAGGCTCTTGCGTCTGATGTTGACACAGCATCTCCAGCTACTCTGCTCACCATTGTGCTGCATTTTTGTTTCCACCTCTGTGTATCTTTAAAGTGTAAAACACAGCTTGTAAATGCATGTCTTGTCCACAGCCCATCTTTCTTTTTTTTTTTTTTTATCTAGGTGACAGTCTCTGTCTTTTAATTGGCGTATTTAGCCTCTTTGTACTTAGTGTAATTTTGAACTTGTCCAGGATCTCATTATTTGTTTCCACTTCTTCTCTCTGTTCTCCGGCTGCTTCAACCCTGTTCTATTTTATCTCCTCCACCGGTATCTTTACTTCTTAGCCAAACCTCTGGGGGGTGATGCTCTAGGGCTGATAATACACAACCTTGTAACACTGCACTTTGGTCACCCCACCCCGCTTTTTTATGCTACTGTTGCCATAGCTTTGACTTTTAAATAGATTATAAACCTCCTCTAACATTGTTTTTTTTGCTTTGAACAGCCAGTGGTTTTTACAGTAAATTACAGAGCAAAACAATCATTTATTTGTTTGCCAGTCCCACTGGCTCTTCTTTCGTTCCCCCAAAGCCAAGTTTCCACCTGGTATTCTTTCATCCTGAAGGGCTGCCTTCATTTTTCTCTTGTAAGGCACGACCGTTGACGGTGAATTCTCTCTGCTTTTGTTGATCTGAAAATGACTTCGCCTCACCCCTCATCTCTGAAGAATGTTTTCACTTCTTACTGGACTCTGGGTTTAGATATTTTTCTTCTGTGAACACTGTGCCCTTCGTCATTTCTGACAACATGTCAGGAGTTATTTTAAACGTGGTTCTCCTGTGTGTGATGTGTCTTTTCCTTCTTCTCTGTTTCTGGGTTTGTGACTCTAACTCTTGTTCTCAGCATTTTGGTTATGGTCTTCCTTGGAGACTTAAGAGATAATCCTGCTTGGGGTTTGCTGAGGTACCCAGACATGTAAGACGATAATTTTCAGATTTGGGGAATTGTTGGCTCTTATTTCTTCAAATACGTTTCTGCCTCAGTCCTGCTCTTGTCCTTCTGGGACCCCAGCTTCCCATGTGCTGGACATTGGATACTGTCCCACAGGCCCCCAAGGCTCTGCTTAGTTTTTAAAAATCTTTTTTTTTTCAATCTGTTTTTCTGATGAGATCATTTTCTGTTTCCCTGTTTTCAGGTCACTGACTCATTTTTCTGTGCCTTCTCTAATCTGCCGTTAAGCTCGCTCAGGAATTTTTCATTTTGGTTATCACAGTTTTCAGCTCCAATAATTCCATTTTTTGCTGTTTCTATTTCTCTGATGTGATTCTCTGTTTTCTCAGTATTGTTTTCCTTCCATTATTTAAGCATATTTATGTTTGTATTGTAATATCTGCATTGAAAGATTGAGCTGCTAACCTGAGTCTGGCCCCTGGCTGAGTCCCTGCCTGCGGACTCCGGGTCGTCCGTGCCGCGGGCCTGCGCTCTGCCCACTGCGCCGCAGGAAGCTGCCCCAGCCAGGGCCGCAGTCGCAGGCTCAGTCCCGAGTTTTCTTCTCCAGGGCCTGCCCCACTGCTGCCCGGGCGGGTGCTGGGAGCAGCTGCCTCCGTGTATTGGTCCAGCTGAGCAGTTGGCAGCACGGCTGGGAGCAGACGTGACTCTGAACATCACTCTGAGTTCTTTCCAGCTGGTCCCGTTCATCCTGTTTTGGCGGCATGGATTCTGTGATCTGAACCTGCTCTGCTCACCACCATCATCACAGAGGTCCCCTCCAGAGAGCAGTTGCCAGTTTGTCCCTGACTTGGGCTGTTCTGCCGTGCAGACCTCTTGGCTGTGTGTGTACGTTAGCCTGCCGGCTCCTCAGCTCATCTGTCCGAGGAGCCTCGCGTGACGGAGCTCTGGGTTTATGCCCAGAGTCCTGCTTGGTGCTGGCTTGCTGTTCTGTTGCCCCCTCTGTCCCTGCCCCAGGCCTGAGGAGTGGCGCACTGTGGCTGCAGTCTGTGTCCCAGTCTCCTGATGGGGGCGTGGGCCTTGCCATGGCGTAGCTGGGGTGCTGGGGGTTGGCAGTGCCCGCTCCTGGCCCTAATGCCAGCTCCCTCGGGCAGCAGAACCAGCCCCTTGGTGCCTCGGGCTTTCCCTGCCTCTCCCCAATGTTACAGGGCTCTGTGAGGTGTATGCTTCTACCATACTGCGCCAGTTCACGGTCCTGTAGAACTTCTCTTCATAGATTTGTGGGATTGCTAATGCTTACGTCCCGGGCAGGGCCATGATGCTGGGTCTCGTGTGCTGTGGAAGGAGAAGGCTCTGAGGACCCTTTATCTTCCTGCCGAGACAGGGCAGCCCCCAGCCCTGCCCGGCTGCCTGTGATCCCAGCACAGGCGGCAGCAGGAACAAACGCCAGGCAGGGCCAGGGCCATGGGGCATGGTGCCGTGGTGAGTGTACGTGCCTCAGCCCCGAGGATCAGGGACAGGGCTGCAGTGGACAGAGGGGAGCGTGTTGCATCAGTGAGAGCCGTGCAGGGTGAGGGGTAGACAGCACCACTGGACGGAGGTGGCGAGCCCCCCAGCGCCATGTGCCCCTTGCTCACCGCAGCTCCCACTAGCAGGACCCTGGTGTGCTGAGCTGCTGTGGCTCAGTCCTCCTGTGGCCTGCAGGGACATCCTCTCTTTGTCCCCCGGGTGAGTCCTCAAGGCGAGGCAGGGTGGGACCTGCAGGATACGCAAGGCCCTGCACGGTTCCTGGGAGGGTCTCGCAGCAGCCAGCGTGCCCCGCAGCCATGACGCTGCGCTGTGCTCCGCAGCCTCATGGTCCTGCTCCGCTGCCAAGTGCACATGGAGATGGCCTGCATCGAGGAGGATGAGGATCGGCTAGAGCCCGCCATGGAGCACCTGCAGAAGGCTCTGCTGCTGGACAGCCAGGGCCTCTACCAGGAGAAGCTCAAGATGGCCTTCAACCGGCTGCACCTCTGCTCCATGCTGTACCAGTCCCCCCGCCGTGCGGAGGACAAGGCCATCATGGCCATCGAGCAGGTGCGGCTCAGGCTTGGGGCCCACTAGGGGCCCACTGGTGCCCTTCACTGTCCAGGAGTGCTCAGAAAAGACTGGATCCCTCCCATCTCTGCCTTTTGCAGGCTAAGAAAGCTATCCCCAAGGACAGTGTCCGGAAGAAGCGGGCCCTCCTGGTGAATGCAGGCCTGGCCCTGGCCCCCGACACCTTCCAGATAGTGCTCGACAGCGAGAACGAGGCCAAAGGTAGGTGCTGGCTCTCGGCCAGTCAGCGGCAGCCCCAGCGGAGTGCCAGGGGCTGCTCCCTCGGCAGACGCGCTGTCTGGGGGTCTGGAGGCTGGAGGGCAGGATCCTGGTGTCGGCAGGGCTGTTCCTTCTGGGCCGTGAGGGGAGCTCGCTCCAGGCCCCCCGGCCTGCAGACGGCCAGCTTCTCCCGCGTCCTCACACGGTCCTCCCGCTGCGCTCTGTGCCCAAGTCTCCCTCTGGAGGACATCCGTCACAGTGGACGGGTGGGCTCGCACTCTGAGCCGGGCGCAGGCCTCACCAGAACTCTGGGGGCAGCGCCCAAAGCCAGGGTGGGGCCCGGCTGCTCTGCGTGTGTGTGGACAAGGCCAGCGTGAGCGGACCTCCTTTCGGTGCCCTCCCACCAGCCGGGCCTCCCTCCCGTGGACACTCTCAGCCACTTTTCAGTAAACAGAGACGAGAATGCGCCCCCACGCGTGGAAGGCAGGGTGGGGACACACCCCAGTGGTGGGAGGGATGGCTCTGGGACATGACCCTGAGTGGCCCGGCGACCGTGCACCCCCTCTGTGGCTGTGATGGTTGGCGCCTCCCTTGGTCATACTGCGGCCTGAGTCCTCATGCTGTCCTGAGCTGTCTGGGGAGCACAGGCTCTGTCCCTGTCACATGAGACGTGCCTCGGCACCGAGAGGGCGAGCGGCTGGCCTGGTGGCAGTGGGTGCCACGCCCGTGGCCCAGCGCGGACAGGGGGCCTCCTCCCAGGCCCTCAGGCCCCGGGGTGACACTGAGCTCTCCGCGTCCATGCCTATTGCTAGCAGGAGCAGCTCCAACCAGGCTGATGAGCTGCTCGGCCTGGGCAGTGGGGATGGCAGGTGCCAGGGAGGGGCGGCAAGAGGGAGAGCCAGCTCCGGCCCTGGTGGATGGGGAAGGGGTGGTGCTGCCACAGGACAGGGTAGGGCAGGGTGGCCAGGCCAGCCCTGCAACACGCTGTGCCGGGGGCCTGGCAGCTCCCCACGCAGAGGCACAGTCAGCTGGACCGGACTCCCATCAACAGAACAAAACCGCGCAGGGAGGGGTCACTCTGCACACCTCTGAGCCCAGAGCCCCGGAGCTGCTGCCCGGCGGCTGGCTGCATGCTGATGGCACGGGGCGTCCCTCGAATGGAGGTGCAGCCCCTCCTCGTCACGCCACCCCTCGCATGCTGTCAGCCGTGTGTGCATCTCGTTTCTGTCCTCAGTTTCCACCGGGAGAATCCGGGGCCGGTTCACCGCCCTGTTCTCGAAGGCACGGCACCACACCATCAGTGTGGACAAGGCTGCCGGGCATCTGCGGCGTCTGGGGAACAATAATGACAAGGAACGGTGAGTGGGGACCTGGAGAAGGACACAGCAAAGCCCCGAGCCAGCTGGGAGACTCTGTCACTGGAGAGCGAGAGCGACCCTCTGCCGTGGCTGAGCTGATGGCCTCCCTGGGGCCCATGTGGTCCTGGAGGCCGGCAGGAGGAGGTGCACGGCTGGGGGGCCTGGCAGGCGCAGCCCCCCACTGCCCTTGAGACAGCCGACCACAGCCGGGGTGGGGAGGGGCTGTTCTCACTCCGCAGAGACTGTCCTGACTCGGCAGGTGCCCAGCACCAGGCTCTGCGTGTGGTTAGGACACAGCCACTGGAGTCGCTCACTTTGGGACTCAGAGCCTGTCCCGGGGAAAGACATGTGGGCGCTTCTCAGTCGTCAGAGTGACAAGGGTGCAGCGGCCAGACCCTTGGCTCGGGGACAGACAGCGGCCTCCCCCACCCCTGACCCCGGGGAAGCCTCCCGGCCACGGCCGCCCTGCTGCCTCGAGCCCTGGCAGTGGGCACGGCTGTCTCATGGCTGCTCTCTGCACCTTGACACTGGATCCACCGGCGCCTCTTTCTCACGAGCAGTCGCTCTAGTGGTGCCTGGTTGTACCAGCCGCGTCCGAGTTCACGCCTTCCTTCCCGTGGGTTTTGGTGAGCAGAGTACAGATTTGGGCAGAGCTCGCCAAGGTGGCCCGGAAGCAAGGCGTGTGGGACGTTTGCCGGACGGCCAGCCGCTTCTGCCTCCTGTACGACAGCGTCAAGGTGAAGAAGCTGTCCCGGGGGAAGAGAGGTATGCACAAGGCCACCCGTCAGCGCCCCGCAGGGCCCGCCAGAGCCTGGCCGAGGCCGGGGTTTGGTGCTGAAGTGAGGACGGGCAGTGTATCAGGACTGCGTCCAGGGGCCTTCGAGGGCAAACAGTGTTTTACAGATGCTGGCAGCTGACTGCCGAGACCGTTCCTGACGGGGTGACAGTGATGGCAGGGTCCCCCGTGAGAGTGAGGGTGACCACAGGGTCGATGTTGCCGACCAGGGGCCTCCTTTGTGCATCTGGCTCTGTGCCAGGCTGGCTTCCTAGTCCATCTTGTCTGACCTGCACAGTCACTTTGGGGTCGTCAGGGGGCGAGAAAAGGGAAGGGACCGGCTGTGAGTGAGGGAACCGAGGCCACCGTGGTGGGAGCCGCGGGCAGAGGGCAGAGGGCAGAGGCTGAGTGTGCAGGTGTGCTTCTCAGGAGTGCTGGCTCCTCACGTCATCACTGGTCTGGGGACGAGTCCAGGGTGCAGGTCCCAGGCGGAGTGCTGGTCTAGCGGGCAGTCAGGACACAGGGACTTGGCGCGAGAAGGCCCAGGAGGCAGTGTGACAGGCTCGGCGGGCAGACCTGCACAGCAGAACCAAGCACACGCTGTCAGGAACGTCAGCTAGAGAGGGGACACATTTGCCACCCCACGGAGGCCCACACGCTTGGGGAGGTTTCCTTCCCCCTTTCCTGGGCACACCCCTCAGAGATGCCGGCCCCCCCAGGGCTGAGGAGGAACTCCAGCAGGCGGGTGGGCAGCAGTGTGGACGAGCGTGCCAGGCTGCTGGCATGAAGTCCTGAAGTGCTGCTGGTCCCCCAGGAAGGAAGAAGCGGGCCGGGGAGAGCTGGGGGTCGGACAGCAAGGCCCATTCGCAGGTCTTGCTGCCGCGGCCCGGGTCCCCCAGCCTGCTGCGGAAGTTCGCGGAGGTGGGCTTCATCAGTGCCGAGGTGTGTCCTGTGGACAGGTCAGCTGCGGGAGCGGGTCCCCCGGGGTCCCCTCAGTCCTCTGTGGTGGCCGCTTGGCATCCAGAGGCATGGACCCCGCCGACGTTTACCCTGATCCCCCATCTCTGCTCCTGAGGTGACACTATGGGTTCGGGAGTTTCCTGGGTTCTGGGGGAAAGCAGAAATCAAATGTGGCATGTGTGGATACAAATTTCCTTAGAAGTAGTTTCCGCACGGTGGCTGGCGCGAGGGCTGGCTCTGTGACCGCCCCCGCTGCACGCCTCCTGTGCAGGCCACCGTCCACTTGCTGCAGTCAGAAGGTGTGGAGCTGAACAACTGTCCCAACCCCCCCGAGGACTCGAGCCAGCACCCAGCAGGCTACATTCTCGAGGCCCCCGAGGACAACTCGGAGTGGATCACGTACAGGTAGGGGCCGCGTGACTGGCGGGCCCCGTGTCCTCTGCACCGGTGGCACCGTCTGTCCCTGGAGCACGGGCTGCACGGCCGCCCGGGGAAGGATGGACGAGAGGCAGGGGCTGCGCCCAGACCAGGAGCGTGATTGGCGTCCTGCGTGAGAACAGCCACGGGACTGGCTTGTGTTCCTCTGATCCTCCTCGTAGTCCGAGTGAGAGGTAGGAGCTCACAGTCACGGTGGAAATGCAGAGGGGGCGGCTCTTTAGTTTGCTCAGCGGGGAAGCTGCACCTGTCCAGGTGTGCGGGGGATACACCTCAACGGCTCCCTGTGTGAATGACGCAGCATTTCCTTCGGCAGATCCAGGGGACCCGCCCACGTGAGATGCCTCGAGCAGGACACTCCCGAAACGGGGTGCTGTGTTAACTATGAGGGCTTGTTGTTTCTAAATCTAAGTTTCAGTATTTTTGAAAGTGGGTGATTGACTGTATTATCACGTCCGGGGAGCTGAGCTCCATCCAACTGTTCTCGCCCACCAAGGGGGGGGGGGGGGCGTCTCCTGTTCCGGGAAGGAGAGCGGGGTGCTAGGTTTGTGCAGACCACAAGCTGAGTGGTTTGGCATTTAAAAAATTTGTCAAATAAAATGAAAATAAGCGAAACCACACGGAGCTGCAAAGCCTGGACACCTGGCCCTTCACAGAAAAGGTTTTCCATTCCCAGTCCCCAGGGGGACAGTCGTCGCCCAGTGCTGAGTGGGACCCGAGCATCCTGAGGAGAGTGGCCTCGTGTGAGGGGCGGCCGCAGAGGTGGACAGGCAGCCAGGCTGGCCTTGAGGACCCTGTCCTCAGACGGGGAGGGCTGGGAAGTTTGTAGACCAGGTACAGAGAGAGGGTCTGATTGGAGTGCGTGACCAAGGGAGGTCCTGGGGGCAGCTGGGGAGCTGGGCAGGGCTGGGGTCCTGTAGAGGGAACGTGGCAGGCAGCCCGGCAGGCACCTCTCTGACCCTGCTCCGCAGCCAGGGTGGGGTCGCGGGCAGACGTCACGCCGGCGTCCGTGCTGCCGGGTTGGGAAGGGTCTTGTTGCGGAGGAGAGCCTGGCATGCTCGTCCTGCAGGACCTGGATCGAGAGTCTGTCGCAGTACGCCATGCACAACTGGCTGCGGTCTGCCGAGATCGGACAGGAGATTCAGGAAGCCTGGATCGTGCAGAACGCCGTGGTCTACGTCCTGAACCACAACCACCATCTCATCATGGCTGGGAGGCAGAAGGAGCTGGTGGACGCCCTGTACCACCTCCTGAGCATCGTCAAGACCACTGGCCACAACGGGTGGGTCCTGGCCCTAGAGCTGTGGGGTCAGGCGTGTGTACCCCTTCCATAGTGCCATCTTTCTAGGGGGGGTGGGGCCGCTACTGCCTGTGCCTGGAGACGAGGAGACGACGGGCCCAGGATAAGCCTGGGGGACACTGGGAGGGCTGCTCGCGCAGTCCCGGGTCTCCGTCACTAGCTGTGCACCCCTGAGCCAGACGCTCGCTCTCTCGGGGCCTCGGGGTGGGGGGTGGGGACTGCTGAGGCTCCGGGAGCCCGCACGCCTGCCCGGGGCCCGCAGCAACGCCCAGTGTGGGAGCCACCTGTCTGTTCCAAACGGAACGGCCGTGGGGAAGGTTTGCTGAGGCCGCGTCACCGGGGAGATGGAGTGGGGAGGGCGCCTCTGAGCGGCTCTCTCGGGGGCGGGAGGTCGGAATCGGTCTGTGAGTTTTCTTATCCAGATGGGAGCTCGGGAAAACCAAGTCCTCACGAGCTAAAATAGAACTCTGAAAACATCAAGTTGGGTCAGGTTTTATCTAACTAGGATGAACTTATAAAACTCTCCTTGTGCGTTTTCTGTTGGTTTGGGTTTTAGTCAGAACAATAAGGTTTAAATATTTTCATCAGATGCTAAGGTAGAAATTCAAGAATGAGTCAGAATGTGGCAACGTAAGATGTGATGATTTTTTTTTAAAAAAATCCTCACCTGAGGATATTTTTCTATTTATCTTCAGATGCAGTGTGAGGGAGGGAGGGAGGGAGGGAGAGAGAGAGAGAGAGAGAGAGAGAGAGAGAGAGAGAGAGAGAGAGAGAGAAATTCCAGTGAGAGAGACATCGATTGGTTGCCTCCTGCATGACCCGGACCAGGGCTGGGGACCCAACTGCAACTGAGGTACGTACCCTTGACTGGAATCGAACCTGCGACTCTTTGGTCCACAGGCTGACGCTCTAACTTCTGAGCCAAACCGGTCAGGGTGCGATGATTTTTTAAAGTTACGAATAATAAAGAAAATGGGCCATGAAATGAGGACGTGCCCAGCGGCCCCCCCGCTCCAGTGGCTGAGGCTGGCGCGGCCTCTGACCTCTGCCCTGGTGCGGCTACAGGGACCTGGGGCCTGGACACGGACGGAGCCTCCTCCCGGCCGTCGTGCTGCTCATCTCTGTTGCAGACAGGGGTCAGACTTTGAGTCCCCGACTTTTAGCACATGGAGATCATCTGTGGCCACTTTGAACGCTTTAGTACCATGGCGTCCCCAGGGAGAGAACGAAGCTTGGGTAAACGTGTATTTGCTCTTGTAACTGACGGAAACCCTCAGGCCACTACCCGGGGCCTGCTGGACACCCCCGTGGGGCACAGTGGCCGGCGGGCCTTTCTGTCCCAGCCCCGTGGCCCCGGTGTCACGCGCTCGGTGTGCAGGCGCCCGCGTCAGGGACAGCGCATCACAAGAGCAGGCTGTCACAGCCAGCGTCCTCCCTCGAGGCTCGAGAACGGCTCCTTAGGCAGGTGCTGGGACGGTGGGCGGCCACTTTTCTGTGTAACCCCAGCTGGGGGCCCAGTAAACGCAGCGGCCGCGCACTCGGGGGACTCAGGCCTCGAACCTGTGCTCCGCCGGCTGCTGCCCGTGTTCCAGTGACTCTGTCATGCTGGTGATGCTCTGCAATGCGCTGGCTCGCGGCCTGATCATCAGCTGGATCCCAACCCAGACGCCAGAAAAAGCTAGAAAACTCGTGAAACCAAACCCGTTGCACACACCACTGGACGCGGGGGCCACCTCTGAAGTCAGAACCGCGGTGGAGGTACAGGCTGCTGCGCGTGTGAGCGGACCTTCCCGTGGTCGGGGTTGTGGGGGGAGAACTGGCAGCGGTAGGGGTGCCACTGTAGCCTGTCCAGCTGCTGGGAAATGGGCGCCGAGAGCAGACATCCCTGCAGGGCCCAGTGCTGGTCACTCCAGGACAGAGGGAAAGGGGGGCGTGAAGCTAGAACAATGCAGACCAGTGCCGGCACCGTATCCCCGAGCCGTGTCTATGGACAGACGCTGCGAGCGAGCCGAACCCTTAGCCCACGAAATTTACGTCCCGATAAATGTGGACTTGACTGTAGTCATCAATGAAAAGGAGGGAAAATCGTGGTCTTGATGGACTCTGAAAAGCACTGGCTAATCCATCACCCATTTCTAGTTCAGAAGAATCCTAGCAAACAGGGAAGGGAGCCAGTGCCTTACTGAGTAGAAGGGAGCTGGCCAGAAGCTGCGGCTGCCCTGAGCGGTGAGGTCGGGGTCAGACCGTCCCACTGCCCTGCCGGGGGGTCGGCAGGTGCCCTCGGGAAGAAAGGGCATGAGGAGCCCCTGTGCTGCTGCCAGGCCTGTGGCTGCCCGGGTGTGCGTGAGGGGTGAGGGCTTGTGGGGGGTGAGCCACACGCTGCACCGTCCACTCCCCGCCCGCCAGACGGGCCAGGCTTGGCACATGTTTTCGCTGCTGCTGCGGTCAGGACCAAGAGCCGGGGGGGGGGGGGGCACTGCGGTTAATGGTTTGGGTCTTGGCTCAGGTTTCTCTGCTTAGAATTCTAGTTGTATGAACGAGGACACATCCGTTTCAGGTCTGTGAGTTTGCCCTGAACCTGACCAATGGATCGGTGCCGGAGGAGGCCGTGCCCACCAAGGCCCGGCAGCAGCTCATCGCCACCTGGGTGAAGGCCAAACAGCTGCTGCAGCACCAGATCGGGTCGAGGCTGGGCACGGAGGAGCAGGTGCGGCTGCAGGGTGCTGCCTCTCCCTCCCCCCTCCCCTGGGCTCGCCAGCCTGGAGGGCGGTGCCCTTCTGCACGGGTGCTTCCCTGCATGGTGGGCTGCCCCCGGTCCCTCCACCTGCGGCCGGTCAGCCTACTTGTCAGACCACTCGGGAAACCGAGGCACCGCTTTCTGCCTCTTGATGGTGTGAGAAGGTCACTTGGAAATAAACTTTTGTACAAATAGCTCCGATTACTGCCACTGAGCTGGCATTTCAGAGGGTTAAGGTCTCAAGTGCTCTAGACCCTCCCTGGGGCCCTGGGACTCATGGACTCTGTGTTTCCTTCCACCAGAGCACCAATGAAGACATCAACTCCGTGACCAGAGTCCTTGTCGCCCTGGAGATGTACTCCTGCAACGGGCTGGGCCTCATGGACTTCACCGTGCCCCCGTTGGCCCAGGTGGGTGTCACCAAGTGCCCTGGTTGGCAAGCAAAGGGGCTGTGCACAGACGGAGCCCCTGACCTGAGGCCGCTGTTCAAATGCTGCCGCTTGGAGGCAGAACCGGGTCAGAAGGCCTTGCCGGGGTGCCCAGAATCGGAGCCTGCCTGAGTGACGGGGCCTCAGTTTATGATGAGTGACGTGGTACCCCGGCCTTCGTAGCATTTGCCGTAGTGGGGATGGTCCTTTACCCATCCCGGTCTGTCTGCAATAACTTGATAATCCACATCCAAGCTTAAGGGTTTAGCAACTGAGGTAGCCCCCCGCTGACAGCACCCAGCACTGCGGGCCGAGGGGTCAGAGACTCCCCACCCTGAACGCCTCCCCACCTTTGAGTAGCTGCTGGCGATGGCCTCCGAGTGCACCTGGGCGGACCCCCTGGTGGAGCTGCAGACACTCACCCGCCTCAGCCACTTTGCCTGCACAGCCCGCGACCATGAGCTCACCATGGCGTGCTCGCACAAGGCCGTCCAGACGGGCGTCAAGTACCTGAAGACGTTAGATCCGTAAGTCGCCGCCCTGGCCCTGACGTCTGATGTCCCGGTGATGCGGCTGTCTCCCTGTGTCCCCTAGGAGCAGGAGGGACACGGAGAATGCTCGTAACCACGGCCATTGTGGAGGGGCACTCTTGGTGACCAGGCGCGGCTCTGGTAGAGGTCCCAGGGTGGGGGAGCCCAGCCCTTCGCCAGACCCCACTCACCACTGCGTCCCCAGCAGCCCCATCTGGTGCCCGTGCAGCTCCGCCGGCCAGGACCGCACTGCCAGCTGGGCCCTGGAGGGCTGCGCCCGGAGGGTTCCGAGGCCACCCAAGCCTCACCCGCTGCCCCCGTGGTGGACACAGAGGGGGAAAGGGCTCGGCTCCCCCTGCCCTTCCCAGCAGACACATGGCTTTGTTTGCCATGGTTTTGAATAGGCAGCAAGGCACCCTAAATACATTAGAAAGTAATCAAGGGCAATTTCAGGGAAAGGAAGTCGTCCTCTCCCCACCCCTCTCTGCCCGAGGGCTGCCAGCTGCCCGTGCCCCCAGGCTGCTGCCACCCAGTTCCCAGGACAGCCCCGCGCGGCCACAGGTGCTTCGTGTCCTTACGGTTCCTCACGGCTCAGGTTCCATTCAGCTGATGAGCTCTTGTTGTACTGAAGTTTTCCTCTATTTCTGAGGGTGAGGCTTTAAAAACATGTGTTGCTAATACAAATATTTCTGCAGTAAACACTGTTTTTCTCAAGGTTCTTCTCTTCCGCTTACTTTCTGAATCTATTTCCTGAAAATCGGAATCACTGACCCATGTGGTCTGGGCCTTAGACATGCTTAAGGCCAAAACAGGGGCCCTCCAGGGCTCTGCATGCATCACCTCACTTATTCCTCACAGCAGCTGTTCCTACACCGCAAATGGGGAAACCGAGGCAGAGGCTAAATCACCCAGCTGGCGGGTGTCAGAGCTGGGATTGGAGCTGGTCCATTCCAGGAGCAAAATGATCAGTAGAATAGGAAAAACAATCAACAGAACCCAACACGACACAGTGCATTTAAAATAGCTACTCTAAAATACAATTAGATTTTTGGATTTTTAAAGGCCAAATTGAAGTACAGGTAGGGAATTTCAACAAAGAAATGAAAACTATAATAAAGAATTAAGTGGAAATTCTAGAACTGAAAAATGCAACACCCACCATGGAAGTAACACTGGAGAAGTGATACGTCACTTTGAATGCAGGTCAGCAGGCTGTTGAAATGGAAGCCTGGAGAATCAAACACAACCAAAGCTCCGGGGGACAGAGGCAGGAGAGGGAGGCAGAGATGCGTGCTCTTGAATTGTAGCAGCTGAGCCCTCGCCAGGTAGGTCAGTTGGTGAGAACATTCTTCTGATGTGCCGAGGTTTCGGAGGAATCCAGTCAGGGCACATACAAGAAGCAACCAGTGAAGACATTAATAAATGGAGCAACAAATTGATGTTTCCTTCTCTGTCTCTCTCCCTTCCTCTCTCTCTCTCTCTCTCTCAAAATCAGTCAGTCAATCAATCAATTAAAAAAGAAAAGGTAGCAGCTAAAATGTTTTCAAATGGAATGAAAAGTAACCCAGAGATACAGCATTTTCAGTGAACTGCAGGCAGGATAAACACAAAGAAAACCGCACCTATTTTCATGGTAGTCAAATTACTGAGGACCAAGGGTGGGGAAAAACCTGGGAAATAAGTTAGAAGGGGAAAAAGACACATTTAATGTAGGAAAAGGAGGACAGGACCACTGGCTGCTCAACAGAAACAATGCAAAAAGAAAAACCCTGTCAATTGAGAATTCTCTACCCACCAAAAATAGCCTTCAAAAAATGAAGGAAAAATCAAGACATTTTAAGAGCAACGGAAGCTAAGCGAAGCCCTTTCCAGAAGACCCACAGCACAGGAAACAAGGAAGGAAGTTCTTGGGGCTGAGGGAGGCGATTCCAGGGGGACACGCGGTTCAAGAAGCAAGAACATAAACATAAAAGGGGTTTCCCTTCAGTGCTCAAATTCTAAAAGACATTTGCCCGTTTAAAACAAAAATACACGGTATTGTGGATTATTAACGAAAGTAGAAGGAAAATGCAGGAAAACGATAACATGAAGGATGGAAACGAGATAAATAGAAGTCTGTCGTTGAGAGTTCTTACATCACCTGTGAAATGAAGTAAATGAATTCAAGGCAGCCATGATTTGTTCAGGGTAGATGCTGTAATTTCCAGAGCAACGCTAAAAAGAATGAAACAAGAAGGTATAACTGAAACCCCAATGGAGGAGATGAAATGCGATACTGAAAAATACTCAATCCAAAAGGGGGGGGGGATGCAACAAGGGGCACACAGGACAAAAGGAAGGCGAGCAGCAAAATCATGTCAATACCTGTGTTGAACGTAAAGGGATCAGGAAGCAATCGGTCCCACTGAAGACAGAGACGAAGACCCAACCCAAAGCTGAAGCTGTTTGCAAGAGACACTCTTCAAATATAAAGACACAGGTAAAAAGTGAAAGGGTGGACAAAGATGTACTCTGCAAACGCTCCTCACAGCTCACTGGTGGGTGATGTTAAAACAACTGAGATGTATTACCAGAGACAAGGAGAGGCATTTCAAAATGACAGCGGGTTCAATCAGCAAGAAAGCAAGCACCCTCAAAGTGTGTACACTTAATGCAGTGCTTCAAAATTCAAGAAGCAAAAATTAAGTACATGCACAATTATAGCTGTAGATTTCGGCATTCCTCTCTGAGTAACCGAGAGAACAAAGTAAGCAAAAAGAATCGGCGAGTTTATCGATGATGTGAGTGATGCTGGCCTTGGCCACACGTTGTCTCTAGTGACTGTAGTGGAAAGATCACAGTGTCTGGGATGCTGGTGCCCAGGCAGGGCCACGCTGCCACCCCTGGAGTCCTCTCCAGAGCAGAGACCTGACTGTGCACGGCAGACCCTGCAGGATGAGGGGCAGCAGCTTTCCCTTGGCTTCAGAGCCCTGGGCCCACGCAGGGAGTATACCCAGGGGCCAGTGTATTTCTCTCAAAATAAAGTCAGTGTCCCCTGAGCGTGTGATCTGTCCAGCGCTGGACAGGGGGTGATGTCCTAGTGTGCGGTGTCCTCGTAAACGCCTAGGGAGCAGGGATCACATGGTGTTCTTGATTTCTCACTGAGTGGGAGCTGCCCAGGACTGAGCCCTCGTGTGCACCAGGGCTCCCAGAGGGCTCGTTCTGTGCACCCAGTGCTGTGCACAGCACCCGACAAATTAGCCATTTAAGACATCAGTTGATGCTGGTGTTCTCTCCTTCCTAGGAGCACACCCATTCCTTTCCCTTGTCCCCTGCTTCCCCCGCACGTGTGCATCTCCTGAACTCTAAGGGTCCCCACGGGACTTGCAACTAGGGGAGCAATGGGCAGTGGCAGCGCATCCTGGGCTGAACCCCTGAACCTGCCTCCAAGGCCCCTCTTCTCTGATTTCTCTGTGAGCCAAAGCATCCCCGCCTAGGCTCACCTCTGTCCTGTAACATTTCGAGAGGACTAAAGCAGCCCTGCCTAGGCTCACCCCTGTCCTGTAACATTTCGAGAGGACTAAAGCAGCCCTGCCTAGGCTCACCCCTGTCCTGTAACATTTCGAGAGGACTAAAGCAGCCCTGCCTAGGCTCACCTCTGTCCTGTAACATTTCGAGAGGACTAAAGCAGCCCTGCCTAGGCTCTCTCCGGTTGCTGCTTCTCTCCTAGGCCCTCCCCTGTATCACTTCCCCAACTTTAGTAAACGTACTCTCAAAATAAAAAAGAAGACATCATTTGGTGCCATCTCGTGGTTCTGCGGGTTGACTGCACTCAGCCCGTTAGTTCTGGCTTGGGGACTGTCAGGAGGCTGCTCCAAGCATCCCGGGCTCATTTGTCTTCTGCACACGCACCCCACGACGGCCCTCCCGTGTGCTCAGAGTGTCTCTGTCTGCAGGGTCCAGGCTCAGCTGGCGGCGGAAATGCTGAGCACCAGTGCCTGCATCCAGGGCAGGAGCATCATGGAGAACCTGAAGGGGCAGAAGCAGCTGCGCCTGGCGGCCACCAAGGCCTTCATAGAGGGCGTGAGGTGCGCCATGCTGCTCTGGCTGAACGGATCGTGTTGTGCGCCTGGGGTGTATGTTGTGTATGGGGATACATGGCAGCTGCAGTGCCCGGGAATGAAGGGCATGACACGCAGTAGGGACTGTCACAGAGGCCAGCCCTCCCTCAGAGACCCCATGGCAATGTGGGGGAGCCAAGGCAGGGGGGCTGTGGCACAGGAAATTCACAGCAGGGACCCCCAGGGGCACGTCGTGCAGAGCGGGGCACAGGCTCCAGGTGAGGTACTCGGCCCCTTGAAGATCCGGAGCTTTAGGTGTCTGGGTGTCTACAGCTCACTTGGTTGGGACCTCCCTTTCAGGTTTGGGGGCATCTCGAAGAACAGCGCCCTGGTGATGCTGGCCACGCGGCACTACTGGAACACTGAGCTCCCACTACTGTCCTCAGCAGCCAACAGGAAGAAATCCAAGGGCACCATTCAGAACATCATCACCATCATCAACAAGACAGAGGCCAAAAAGCAGGTACCCCAGGCCCGGCTCCCTGGGTCCCATGGCTACCTCTCAGCTTCTTCTCCAGAAAGGGCAGATGAGGTTCCCAAGGAAAGAGACCCCTTCGAACGGCTCAAACGAGGGATGGACATGGTGGCCTACAGGGTGGGGGTGCTCCTGGCAGAGCTCAGTGCTTAGTTCTGACCTCCCTTCTCCACTGCCCTTCTCTCCCTCATCTCTCCCCTCCAAGAGAACCCTGACCCCTACCCAGAAAGCTCCTTGGCATCTATACCTAGGAATGGAACTGCTGTGTTCTATGGTATATCTGTGTTTAACCTTTGGAAGAACTGCTGGGCTGTTTTCCACAGTGGCTGTACCATTTTACATTCCCATCAGCAATGTATAAGTGCTGCAGTTTCTCCACGTCCTAGGCAACACTTGTTATTTTCCATTTTTAAAAATTTAATCATTCTAGTAGATGTGAAGTGGTATCTCATTGTGGTTTTGATTTTGATTTCTTCAATGACTAATGATATTGAGCATCTTTCTTGTGCTTAATTCTTTTTCTTGTCTAATAGCTCTGGCTATAACTTCTAGAACAAAGTTAAGTAGCAGTGGTGAGAATAGGCATCTGTCTTGTTCTTGATCTCAGAGGCAAAGTTTCAGTCTGTCACCACTGAGTATGATGTTTACTGTGGGTTTGTTACAAATGCCTTTCATTGTGTCGGGGAGTTTCCCACTACTCCTACTTCTCTGAGAGATTTTGTGATGAGAGTTTGGATGATGTCAAATGCCTTTGTCCATCAATTGAGATGATCATGTGGTTTTCTCCTTCATTCTGTTACTGTGATGTATCACATTGCCTGTTCTTCTTATGTTAAACCGCCTTGTACTGCTGGGATCAATCCTGTTTGGATATGGTTGCATAATATTTTTATTATGCTCTTGGATTTTATTTGCGTCTATGTTTGTAAAGAATATTGGTCTATAATTTTCTTGTGATTCTTTATCCGGGTTTGCTATAAAAAATAATCCTAGTGTCATAGAATTAATGAGTCAGGAAATATTTCTCGTTTTTTCAATTTTTTCGAGTTTTGTGGAGGATCGATGTTAAATATATAAATGTTTGGTGGAATTCACCTGTGAAGCCATTTGGCCCAGGACTTTTCTTTATTGGGAGGTTTCGTATTACTGATTCAATCCATACTTGTTAGAAGTTTGTTGAAATTTTCTATTTCTTCTTGAGTCAGTTTAGGTGACTTCTGTGTTTTCCAGGATTTTTCCATTTCTTCTAGGTTACTTACTTTGTTGGCATACAACTGGTAATAGGATTCTCTTGTAATCCTTTTTATCTGTCTGGGTTTGATAGGAATGTTCCACTTTCGTTCCCAATTTTAGTTGTTTGAGTCTCTTCTTTTTTAAAATGAGATTAGAAAGGTAAGCAGAGGTTCCATCCTGAAGGGCCTTGTGTACCAGGATAAGGAACTTCAGTGTTATCCTTTTGGTAATGAGAAGCCACTGGAGAATTTTTTTTTTTTAATTCTCACCTGAGGATATTTTTTCATTTATCTTCAGATAGAGTGGGAAGGAGGAAGGGAGGGAGAGAGAGACAGAGAGACCGACAGAGAGAGACAGAGACAGAGAGACAGAGACAGAGACGGAGACAGAGAGAGACAGAGAGAGAGAGAGACAGAAACATCGATGCAAGAGAAAAACATCGACCGGTTGCCTCCTGCACGACTCTGACCAGGGCTGTGGACCAAACTGAGGTCCGTGCCCTTGACCAGAATCAAATCTGAGACTCTCTGGTCTGGGGGCCGATGCTCTAACCACTGAGCCAAACCAGCCAGAGTGTCTTTTCTTTTTCTCCTTGACAGTCTAGCTACAAGTTTGTCAGTTTCGTTGATCTTTCAAAGAGCCAGCTTTTGGTTGCATTGATTTTCTTTGTGTCTCTATTCTGTGTTGCCTTTATCTCTGCTCTAATCTCTATGATTTCCTTCTCTCTGCCGTTGGGTTCAGTTTGCTCTTCTTCTAGTTCCTAGTGCAGACGCTTGGAGGTATAAACTTCCCTCTGAGCTCTGCTTTCACTGTCCCGTCGTTTTTCCCAATGTGCACCGGAAGTGACTCGGATGCTCTGTCACTGAGGGAGCTGGACGTCTGCGTGTCCTCTGACGCAGCTGACCTTGCCCTGGACGGCCTTTCTCAGGGGTGACATTTCTGTGATTAGATACTGAGCCAAGTGGCACACAGAATGGTGAAAGAATAAGCTACAACTTTCACCCTGGCCGGTTTAGCTCAGTGGTTAGAGCATCAGCCTGAGGACTGAAGGGTTGAGGGTTCGATTCCCGGTCAAGGGCACGTATCTGCATTGCAGGTTCAATCCTAGGCCCCTGTCGGTCGTGTAGGAGGCAACCAATCGCTGTATCTCCCCCACATAGATGTTTTTCTCTCTCTCTCCCTCCCTTCCACTCTAAAAGTCGATGGGAAAATATCCTCTAGTTAGGATTAACCAAAAACAAAACAAAAGGAAAACCCATAACTTGTAAGGACGTATTTGGTCTGTTTCTACTTCAGGAAAAGGAAGTGCAGCTTCTGCACCAGTGGCCGACTGCGGACTTCCAGAGCGGAGGGGCCTCCGAGGGCAGCTTCCTCCCAGGTTTGTGGACGCAGCGACAGGGCCACAGCGCACCGCACTGGGGGGCGGGGGCACCCTGTGCTGTCAGTCCCTGTGCCCTGACAGAACCCCAGGTGACATCTCAGCGTGCAGGGGTGACAGGCACGCGAGTGCTGTTCGTGAATGGGCCTCGGGAAGCCGTTGTGCACAAGGAGCCAAGGCCCGATTGTCCCCTTGCCCAGGGCCACGTGGTCCTCCCAGGCCGCCCGCGCTGCTTTGAAATCTAGCCTCTGGGTTATTCTGATGGCTAAATCATATTCTACTTCCATAAAAATGTGGAGACATACTCCGAAAAAAAAAATACTGATCTTAGAACAATGAAAACCATATTTTAGAATCCATGTTTAAAGAAAAAAAATGACGATTATCTGCTAACTCACCGCCCCTGTTCAAGTAAGAGTCCCGGTGTGTGCTCGGGTGGGAACTGGGGTCAGCGCCGAGTCCCTCCGAGTGCAGCACAGCCCTGGTAGAGACATAAGCTCGACTTAAACCAAAGATGACTACGTGTAGTTAAACCCAAGTTGAGTACCAAACACCAGCAGTTAAATAGCTGGTGGCGCTACAGAGAGAGATGTGGGTGACAGCCGTCAGGAGGCAGCGGGCATCCCGCCACCCGAGGACCCAGTGCAGAGCCTGCCTGCGTGGCCCTTGTGGCACCCGAGGGACAGTGCAAGTCAACGTCCAACTGCTCTGCGCTGAAAAAACATCACATAGGTTGAATGGTGTCGTAGTTTTAAAATTCAAATTCTAGGGGAAAAATCAGAAAGTGGCATCGAGCATAGCAGAGATTTTGTGGAAAGATCATTTTCTGAATGTTAACATGATCAAAGAGGCACAATTTCAAATACGTGAAAATTTCAATAATGAAAATGCAGAGAAATGCACAGTTACCCAGTAAGCCCTGGGGAAAGGTGTATCCGATCAGGCAGCTAAGCAAGGAGCTTCCGTACCCCGTCCAGAGGTGCGCTGGTCAGGTCTGCGTGCTCTGCTCCTCCCTCCGGGGGCTCCATCTGCACCGTGGCCCTCAGGGGAGGCGGTGGGGGAGGCCCCCGTCCCCGCACAGGCCCCTGCAGCGCTGAACCTGGTCCCCGCAGAGGCCGAGGACGACCTGTCCCTGCGAGCCGCGCTCTATGGGATGCTGTTCCACTGCCACGCCGACCAGGACGACTGGGAGGGCGGCCTGAAGGTGCTGGACGAGGCTGTGCAGGTGCTGCCTCGGACGGCGCACCGCCTGTGAGTGCCCGGCCCCCCCCCCCCGGGCCCCCACCACTGCAGGACCCCCACCCCCTGGGCCTCTACCCTGCCCGGGCCCCCCCCCCGCCCGGGGCCCCCGCCCCACCTGGGCCCCCACCCCCCGGGGCCCCCACCCCTCTGGGCCCCCACCCCCCAGGACCCCCATCCACCCGGGCCCCCACCACTGCAGGACCCCCACCCCACCTGGGCCCCCACCCCCCGGGGCCCCCACCCTACCCGGGCCCCCACCTCCCAGGGCCCCCACTCCACCCGGGCCCCCACCCCACCTGGGCCCCCACCCCCTGGGGCCCCCACCCCTCTGGGCCCCCACCACTCCAGGGCCCCTACCACTTTGGGGCCCCCACCCTGCCTGGGCCCCCACCCACCCGGGATCCCCACCCTGCCTGGGCCCCACCACTCCAGGGCCCTCAATCCTCTGGGGCCCCCACCAGGAGCCCCTCTTGCACCTCCCAGTGCCTTCGCGGGGTGCACCGTAGGGCCTTACCCACTTGCCCACGAAGACTCCAACCCAGGAAGGGTGGGGATTTGCAGCCCACACAGAATACATTAAACAATATATTCAGAAAATACACAACACAAAAACCGAACTAACCAGGTTCCATTTTCTTTTATCTTTGTAAGTAGGAAGATGGGCAAGTACTTCAGTTTGGGGTGAATTATACGTATCACGATTTTTGTCATTCGACTTAAGGATTGATTTCTCTTTTCCTTCAGCTTAATTTTCAAGCACATGGTCATTGTGAAGGCCAAACTTGGCCAGAACTTCACAATGGAGATACAGAAATTCAAAGACGAGAGTGAGGAATACCTGGCACACATGTGGCACCGCCTGGCCTTGAACTCAAAGAATGTCTACGGGGAGCTGACCTGCTACCAGAACGCAATCCAAGCCTTGCAGGTGCGCACCTGCTCGGCCACAGAGGTGATGGGGGTGGCGACAGCGTTTCTCCGCCCACACAGCAAGGGCAGCAGACAGGCCCCTGTGTCACCCTGCGGAGCGATGAGGGGCTTGTGTAGGAGACAGGCACTGCATGGGGACGGGGGAGCCCAGGCCCTGGTGGGCCGTGGCGGAAGCGGCTCTGCAGCCTCTGGGTTTCAGGGTCTGAGGACATTGTTCACCCCAAGAAGCCAAGACGGACATTCCTCTGGATGCACTTGGAGTGAGGTGGGGGAGGTTGAGGGGAAAGTGTGCATCTTGATTGAGGCAGGAGCATGTGGGACTTGCCCCAGGACAAAGAAAGCCCTGGATCGTGGGGACCAAAGGCGTCCCAAAGACGGGCACCGCAGAAAAGCCTGCAGGTCCTCTGCTGAGCGGACTGTGTTTCCTTTGTTGAGCAGATCCCGCACGAGGCGTAGGGTGCTCCGCAGGCCAGGCCTGGGACTGGTCAGGACGCTCTGGGTCCAAACACAGTCTGCTATTTGCTGTGTGGTTAACGCCAGTGGTCAGTGCAGTGGCCGGGTCCCCGACAAGGGGCTGAGGGCACCCCTGTGCCTTGCTCCTGGGACCTGGAACCAGAGACCAAGTCCTCCCTTGGCGATGGCCCTGCTGGGCTCTCTGGGACCGGGCAGTGTGGCCCAGCCCCCACCACAGAAAGCAGCAGGCTGATGCAGGGCGTCCTCTGTGGAGAAAGGCCGGCCACCTGGATGGTTTGCAGAGGCTCTCTGTCCCTGCTGCCCCAAGCCCCAGTGCTTCCTTCCTTTTCATGGCTGGGTGACACCCCACCGTGCGGCTGGAGACATGTTCAGTGGACGGGCACTTGCGTCATTTCCTTTTCTCCAGTTGCTGTGAGCGTTTGTCACAGTCACGTGTCGCTCACCCACAGGGACACGTTCTGAGAAACGCGTCATTAAGCAATTTTGTCTTGTGAACATTATAGGCCACTTACACCCCTGGATGGCACAGCCCTGCACACCTGGGCTACCAGCCTGCACAGCACGGTACAGCCCAGAATAGCACGCCGGTAAATCCAGAGTAAATGATGCCATCAAGGGGCGTGGTGCACACGGGACGGATGTGAGGGGCACCGTTTGAGAGCAGAGTTTTTTTTAATAAATGAAAGGGTGCACTCTAAAACGACGACGAAAGGTGTGGTGACTGCATAAACCTGTAACATGGTCCTTTATTGCCATCATCTTGTCCCGCCTCCTGTTCATCTGTGTAGGGCCTGCACTTTACACGACGTGCTGGGACCACGTCATCAGCTGCGATGTCACTGGGCGACGGTTTTCCACTCTATTGTAATCTGGTGGGACCACCATCATGTGTGCGGCCCGCTGGGGGCCAGACGTCATTATGCACCCTGACTGCGTGCGTTTTTTCACGGACACGTGTTGACAGTCTTTTGGGACCATTGCTAGGGGTGGAGTTGCTGGATCATACGGTGACTCTGTTAACCCTGAGGAACCCGGGCCGTCCCGCAGCGGCTGCACCATTCTGTCAGCGCACGGGCTCCGGCTTCTCCAGGTCACCGCCAGCGCCACCGTCACCGGCTTTCTGGGGACAGCCTTCCCGGTGGCGGCACGGTGCTGCCTCCTCCTGGCGGCTTGCTGTCCCCGTGAGTAATGGTGAGTGTCTCTCTGTGTGCTAATAGCCACTTATATATACTGTTGCGAGAGACGTCTGTTCAGATTTCGCTCATTAAAAAAATTTTTTTTTTCTTCATTGACTTTAGAGAGAGAGGGAGGGAGAGGGAGAGAGAGAGAAACATTGATGAGAGAGAACATCGATTGGCCGCCTCCTGCATGCCCCCCACTGGGGATCAGGCCCACAACCTGGGCATGTGCCCTGACCAGGAATCGAACTGGCCACCTCTTGGTGCCTGGGTCGATGCTCAGCCACTGAGCCACACCGGCTGGACATATTTCACTCATTTCTAAGTGTGGTCATTCGCGCTGTGTTGCTGAGTTCATCGTGTATCTGGCACTAGTCTCTCCTCACACACGAGCCTGGTTACATTTCCCCTCGTTCTGTGGGTTTTTGTTTTCTCGTTGGAGGCGTTAGGAGCTCGACAGCTCACAGTCTTTTTTTTTTTTTTTATCTTCACCCGAGGACATTTTTGCATTTACCTTCAGATAGAGCGGGAGGGAGAGAGGGACGAAGAGAGAGAGAGAAACAGCAATGTGAGAGAGACACACTGAGTGGCTGCCACCCACACCACCCCACCAGGGCCAGGGCCAAACTGCAGCCCTAGCGGGAATCGAACCCGGGACTCTCTGGTCGGCGGGCAGACGCTCTAACCGCTGAGTCAGACCCGCCAGGGCGACAGCTCCCAGTCCTGGCGAAGCGCAGCTGCGTGCAGGCGGCTGTCCCCGGGACGCGGCTGATGTGGCCCGTGCTCGCAGAGGTTAGCTGCTGTTTCTCCCACGACTCACAGTCCAGCTCCTAGCGGAGGTCTTCGGTCCCTGAGGAGTTAGATCTGTACTCGGTGTGAGGCCGGGCCCAGCTCCGTCCAAGCACGTGGCTGCCAGGGTTCCCAGCACCGTCTGCTGGAAGGTGGTCGTTCTCCAAACCCCCCAGTGAGGCGCTCGCCCCATCTCCCCTCCTGCAACCTCTGGTCCAAGCCACCGCCGCCGCCACAGTCAGTGGGCCGGGGGCCCCCTCCTCACTGCCAAAGGGGCATAGGATCGCCCTCCAGCCTGACCACCCCCTTCCCTGGGCTGCCCCCCACCTCAAGGGACATTCCTGCTGCTCTCCGCCCCCACCGGTGACCCCAGCTAGTGTCCTGGGCTCACAGCTGTGTCTCCCGCCCAGCCCCCCTCCACTCCTCCTTCCATCTCACCTGCATTAACCCCAAATTCCCCAGTCAGACCCCCACTGCTCTACACCCCCTCCTTCCTGCCCTTCGGGGCCAAGGCAGAACCACTTGGGAGCTGGGGGTGAACTGCGTGGGGGGTGGGGCTGGGCAAGTGGGAGGCTGAGCTGCCACCTGCTGTCCGGTGGCTTCATTACGCCACGTAGCTATGACTGACCGTCTGTGCACGGCCGGGCCTTGGACCGGACCCTGGGGCTGCACGTTGGACAAAGCCGCATCTTCCCTGCCCCAAAGCTCAGTTAACCACAGAACCACCCAGGCGAAGCCTCACGACGCCTCTCAGCGTGTGTCGGAGGAAACGGGGCTGCGGGGCTGATGTCAGGGAGCCAGGGGAAGCCGGGAAGCCGGGTGGGCGGGGGGCCTGCTCCGGGGCAGGCGGGATACTCAGGGTCTGGGAGGGACTGAGCAGGGCTGGCGGGGTCCCCAGGGGGCAGAAGGCCCGCCGAGGCTTTGCCAAGCTTTGGTCTCACCACACGTCGCGGGCGAACACAAACCCTCCATCCACTGGGAGGTCACGACGAGCCTCCAGGGCCAGATGCGCCCCAGGGAAGGGGTGTCGCCTCGGGGAACACAGAGTGGGGATGGACCATTTGCTTCTAGACAGGGAAGTAGTGAAACTGTCGGTGATCTGGACCGAGTCCCGGGCTGGCCCCAGGGGCCGAGGGAGGCGTGCACCCTCTTTACCCCGCCCCCCTTTCTTTCTGGCCCCACAGAAACCAGAGAGCGAGTGGCACAAAGTGGACTACATCATGGAGTTCGGCGAGTGGCTGTACTACAAGCAGTTCCCCATCGACGACGTGGCCTTCCACCTGAGCTGGGCGATCGACATCCTTCTGGGGATGAAACCTGCCCGGGACGCCCCTGAGCCCGCAGGTGAGGACGGGCCAGGGCTGGGCTGCCGGGCACAGCGTCTCTTCAGCGGTCTGCTCTGGCTCCGACCGCAGGCATTTCGGCGGTAAGAGGGAGGCGTGCTCACAGATCGGCCTGCAGCCAGCCCAGGCACCCCAGGGTGCTCGGCCACAGCTGTGTGTGGAGGCCGCAGAGGTGTCCGCTTTGGGCTCAGAAGAGGGGTTTGCTGAGCAGGTGCTGGTGAGTGGGGGAGCCTGGGCAGCCTCACTGTGGCCACAATCTTGGGGGAGTTGACAAACTGTGGGTGCTTTGCGTGTCGGGTCAGGGGGAGGCCAGGGACGGCAGAACTCCCCGGAGATGCTGACGGGCAGCAGACCAAGGGCCCAGCCCGGAGGGAGCAGCATTTCAGAGGAAACCAGTCGCCCTCAGTGGGGAGATGGACCTCTCCGGGGCTTCGTGGGGGGCTGAGAGGTGACCCAAGCACACGAGCCTGCTGTGTGCAGGACAGAAGTGTGCCAGGAGCCCACCAGGCACGAGGAGAGAGGAGATGAGGCTTTGGGGGACTCAGCAGGCTGCCTACAGACCCCTCGTTGCCTGACCTCATGGGATGCTGGCCAGGTCAGGGCCTCCTCTCCCCATGGGGGCTGGTCCTGAGACCCTGCTGAGGGCCTTCTTAGGACCCAGGCCCTCGGGTAGGGGAGAGTGGATATCCAGGGCCCCCACAAGCACCCTGCAGAAGGGAAGGTGGTGTGGGAGCCGGCGGTCGGGACACACGGATGCCACGCCACGGGGAGCAGGCCGAGGAGGGGGTGTGGCCGCCGGGCTCCCGCACGGGGCCTGCCTCCAGCAAGGGAGCACGCTCACACCGAGAGCGGGCCGACCCCCAAGCCCAGCACCGAGGCGGCCTCCGTCCCGGCCTGCAGATTCAGGGCCGGAGCAGGCAAGCCCCGCCTGCATGTCCTAGAGGCACGTGGACTCGTCCAGTCAATGTCCAGCCCTACATGGGCGAGCTCAGACCAACCAGGGTGACATGCCGAGGGGAGGTTCCATTGCCCCCAACCCCAAAAGCGACCCCAGAGCTGCAGGTGCCACCCTGAGCCTGGGACAGGCATCTCCTCACAGCCTGGCCGCGGCCACAGCACCCCAGGAGTTAGGCCTGGCGCCTGCAGCCCCTGTGACAGGCAGGGGCACCGCACTGGTGGCTGCCCCCTGACCCCAAGGGCCTGGGAGACGGGCAGAGGAGATGGCGGAGTCCGAGGCGCCCACCACTGTGGCCCCCGTCTTTCAGGAGAGCAGGCGCCCACGCAGGCAGCCCCAGAGAGTCCGGGCTCGGAGGACACGGAGACCGTCTCCTTGGAGAAGCTGTGGAACGTGAGGCAGTTGGAGGCGCTGGCCCGTGCCCACATCCTGCTGGCCCTGATGGCGTCCCCAAGTGCCGCCAGCTACCAGGACCACTGCCTCATGGCCTTCGCCTTCCTCCGGCGGATCTGGCAGGTGGGGCCGTGTGGCCACCGGGGCAGGGGCTCCGCTCTTCCCGGGCCAGACTGGCTCAGTCCCGTCGCTTCCAAAGATTCTCTGATGACTCTGAGATGTGTGCAGAGTCTCTCAGGGCAGCCACGTGTCCCTGTCCACTCGATGGCCCTGTGTCCTGTCCATTCAATTCCCTGTGTCCCTGTCCACTCGATGACCCTGTGTCCCTGTGCACTCGATGGCCCTGTGTCCCTGTGCACTCGATGGCCTTGTGTCCCTGTGCACTCAATGGCCCTGTGTCCCTGTCCACTCGACCCCCATCAGCACCCTTCCTCCAGTCGGTCCTCCTCTCTGAAACCCACCCACCGGGGTCGCCCGTGCTGCTGCGTGTCCACTGGATAGTTGGCCAAACCCTGTGTCTTCCTGACCATCAGCAGCCCTGCTGGGCTTCTAGAATCTTCTGTCACCCCCAACCCCGCATGGCTTCCTCGCTGCCCCCTTCCAGCACCCCTTTATAGCCCCCCTTCCCAGCAGCTCTTGGTGGCCTGTTGTTCTTGGGGACCTCCTCGGGAGCGCCCCCAGCTGGACAGCTTTCAGGACAGGCCTTGTTTCTGAGGGCAGCGTGCCTCCAGACCCTGTCCTGCTCTAGGACAGAGAGGTCACCCCATTCCTGCCAGGATCTGTGAGACCCCTCAGGAGGTCTGCTGGGTGGGGCTCAGCTGCCTCTCTGATTCAGGACAGGAGACTCACTCCCTGCACTGCCCTCCTGAGGGCCACCCCCCCTGTGTCCCCATCAGTGCAGAGTCCGGAAGGGGAAGCCCCTCGTGCAGGGAGGGCCGCCAGGTGCCCCAACCACGGGTCTGGCCACGCAGACAATGGGCACGAGGCTGCCGCTCAGCCTCAGGACACCCCCCCCCCGCCCTCGGGTCTGAGTGTCTGGGAGAAAGGTGGTGACGTGCGTCCTCAATGCTGCCAATTTTATTTCATGTTCCCAGGTTTCTTTATTAACAGCAGGAAAATACATTTCGGAAAGTAAAATCCTAGCATCAGCCAGTTCGCATTTATTGTTGAAAAAGGACAAGGAGAAGGTCAGGGACAAGGACAGAGAGAAGAGCAAAGACCCGAAGCAGGTAGCGCGCCCCTCCTGGAGGTGCAGGCGGGCGGCGGAGGGCACCCCGGGCTGGGGCCCGAGGACCCGGTCCATGCCTCAGTTTCCCCCTCTGTGAAATGAGGCAGTGATTTCTCCCTCCCTCCCTCTCACACACCCAGGGGTGCTCGGACAGTAATGGGAGATGGGGGGATGTCTGGCTTCTCTCTGGAGTTTATCCCACACCAGAGTAAGTCACGGATCAAAGCCCTGCACGGTGACCCCCCCGGCACATGGGTGTGGGGGCAGGGGGCACCTCTGCAGCAGTGAATTTCCCCATCACGTGGGTCCTGCCCTGCACACCCGACCTCTCACCTGAGCACCGGCACGTCCACACGGTGTGCTCCTGCGGCCCTGGGTGTGGGGGCAGGGGGCACCTCTGCGGCAGTGAATTTCCCCATCACACGGGTCCTGCCCTGCACACCCGACCTCTCACCTGAGCACCGGCACGTCCACACGGTGTGCTCCTGCGGCCCTGGGTGTGGGGGCAGGGGGCACCTCTGCGGCAGTGAATTTCCCCATCACACGGGTCCTGCCCTGCACACCCGACCTCTCACCTGAGCACCGGCACGTCCACACGGTGTGCTCCTGCGGCCTATCTGCCCGCCGTCCGGCTGCAGAGCCGCGCGGAGCTGGGCCTGCGCCTGCGCCCGGGTGCCCAGCATCTGCTGAGTGCGACGTGCGGGTGGGGCCGTGCCTGGGGACTCCGGAGGACTCCGTGGCGCACAGGGCTGAAGGTCGTCACGCTGTCCCAGGAGTGACGTCTGAGCGAGCTTTGGGTGTGAAGTCAGATGCGGCTCTGGGCCTGGCCCCAGGGAGGGGGGGTCTGTGCGCCCACCCCGGGCACAGAAAGGCTGCCTCCCGGGCTCTGAACTGCCTGCTCAGACTCACCGCCTTTCAGCCACTCAGACACTCCTTTGTTTCAGCCCCACTTTTTAGAGCAGACCCTGTGTTTCTGCTCCGCAGGGTCAGGCCTCCGTGTCCAGCAAAGAGCCGGAAGATGTCCCATCAAGTGTGGAGGCCTGGGCCTCCTATTTCTGCCCGGAGGAGGTGACATCCATGTTCAGACAGGACAAGAGTGACTTCACCGTGAACGTGTGCAGCATCCAGAGGCCGGTGAGTTGACGAAAGGAAGGGCCTCAGCGGGGGACGCCGCCCGCTGCCGCCGCGGTCATGGTCCTGACTCGTAGCCCAGCGGCGGTTTCTGCTGTGAAATGTGTCCGGGGAGAGAAGCGCGAACGGTTGTCTCGGGGAGGTGTCGCGTCCCAGCCTCCTGCTGCTGAGGGCCCGGGTGACTGCCTCGGACACCCCACATCGCCATCCGTGTCCAGTCAGCGCGCACAGGCCTTTGGCCACGGGACATGTGCAGGTCCCCAGGGCAGCACCTGGGGACGTTGGGGGCCTCATTAGCCCACATGATTCTGCCTGTCTCTGGTGCTTTCAATAGTGGAGTCATGCCCCGGCCGCTGCGGCTCAGTGGTCAGAGTGTTGGCCCTCGGACTGAAGGGTCGTGGGTTTGATTTCCGGTCAAGGGCACGTACCTGGGTTGCAGGTTAGGTCCCTGGCCCTGGTTGGCGGCTGTGCGGGAGGCAACCATTCGATGTGTTTGTTTCACACTGACGTTTCTTTCTCTCCCTCTCCCTCCCTCCCTTCCACTCTCCCTAAATATCAGTGGAAACATACCCCGGGGTGAGGATTAGCAGCAAGGTGGAGTCACTCAGCGTGTGACCTTCGGGTCAGGTGGTGGCAGTCCTCGGGGCTGCCTCGGGCTCTGCGGTGTGTCCGCCGTCACCGCCGTGGGCATCCTGGGGCACATCCGGATCAGTCTGTGTGTCCTTTCCACTGCTGGGCATCTGGGAGGCTGCCGGGGGGTGGCCTCCACTGATGAGGGCAGTGTGGAGTGTGTGCCCATGTCTGGAGACACCCAGCAGGGCTCGTGGGTCGCAGAGGACGTGTCCGTCAGCTACGGTGCGCGGGGCCAGGTTCCTTCCACAGCGGCTCAGTGACACCCCGCAGTGGGCAGAGCCCCCGCTGTCGCACCCTCGCCAGACTCCCGTGGCTCCCCTTCCCTACGGTGGCCCTTTGTGGACATGTGGTGGCTGCTGAGGTGGCTCCAGCGAGGTCAGACGTCTCTCAATGCCTGTGGTCGCCGGGGGTCCTGCGTGACTGCCGGTCCAGTCCACTGCCCACAGTTTACTGCGCTTCCTGCCTTTTCCTTGTTGATGTGAAGGGCTCTTTACCTGTTCTGGAAAAAGCACCGACAATTTATGGATAGTAGACTGCCATCCACTGTGTCTTCCCTGTCCAGGGGTTCCTAGTTTTCATGTAATAAAAATTCTTAATCTTGTTCCTTTGTGACTAGTGCTTTTTAGTGCTCTGTGTAAAAAAAACGCTTTCCTCTCCAAAAGTCATGAAGATGTTCTCTTACAGTATTTTCCCAAAAGCTTTGTAGTTCTCATGTCAGATGTAGACCTGCAGCCCACCTGAGGCTGGTGTGTATGTGTCTACGGAGGAACACGCCACGGTGGTCACGGGGCGAGTGACCGGCCGACCGACGTGCCGCAGTCTCGGGGTTTGGGTGATGAGCTCAGACCCCACTTGCCGGTGGAGGGCGTGTCCCCTTCGCTGTGCGTCTCCGGTCGGCTGCTCAGATTCCGCTGAAACCCCGCGTTCTGGCGTGATCTCGTGGAGTCTCAGATTTAGGGCAGAGCTGGCATCTTTGCCTTGTTGTCTCCCACGAGATGCCTTCCCACCAGTTCCGCCTCCTCTGGCTTCTCCGGGTGACAGATGGGAGCTTCCCGCATGGAGCGTCGGTAGGCACAGGGAGATGTATTTCTAGGTAGTTAATATTTGTGGTCCTCTTATACGTTACCTTTTTTGTTCCATTAGAACTCCAGAGGAAGTGTAGAAATCCGATCGTCTTCACCCTGACTTTGCATCTGTAGTTTTGTTAACCTCAATAATTTTGGTAATTTACTGATAGGTTCTTCAGGATTCCGTGGGTTTACCCCCGTTTCATCTGCAAACACTTCTGATTTTCTAATTTCTAACAGTCGCACGTGTTACGGTCGCACCTCGCTTAACCCTGCTGGCGTGGACCTCAGCCCAACTGCAGGGGAGGTGATGGCGAGGGTCTCACCTCGCCCGCCCCCGACGGATGTCAGCATGTGGCTGCCGAGCAGCTGCTGTTGGCCGTGGCTTCTTACGCACATTCGTCACTGGTTAAGGAAGGCCCTTTATTTCTATTTGCTAGCGGTTTAAATCACAAATGGTGTAGATTTTAATCAAGTAATCTCTCCGTCTATTCAATTTTTTTTTTCTCTTCCATTCTTTTAATTAGTTACATTGATTTTTTTCTAACGGTTATCAGAATGAAGTCAACTTCGGTTGAGGTGGATATTCACGTTATATGTCACGGGGTTCCCCGGTCATGTTTTGTTTTGGGTATTTGCCTCTGTGGCCATGAGCAGGTGGGGCTCCCTCTTCTGCACACGGTGCACTGGGCAGGATTTGGTAAAGAGTCGTAGCGACTCTGAACTGTTTTCTGCTCCCAACGCTTCTGACACCAGGAGTGCGTGAGTTTCTGCACCGACACCCCGGTTCCAGTTGTCTGTGGGCACCAGCTGGGTGTCCTACAATCTAACTCAGTCCTGACACTGCCCGGACGCAGCACAGGCCCCACAGGTTAAGGGCTCAGTCCCTCAAGACTGTCCCACCTCAGATGTCAGCCACGCATATGGGGTCCCCAGGCTACCAAGTTGACTACAAATCGGGGATTCCCATGACCCCTCCTCAGGTTCAGTAATTTGCTGGAGCGGCTCACAGAACTCAGGGAAACACTTTACAACTAGATTACTGGCTTATTACAAAGGAGCTGATAAAGGATATGATAGAAGATGAACAGCCCGTGAAGAGGTCTGTGGGGTGAGGTCTGGCAGGGTCCCCAGCACAGGAGCTTCTGTCCCCGTGGGGCTGGGGTGCACCGCCCTCCTGGCAGGCAGATGTGATCAGCAGCCTGGACGCTCTTTGTTTAGGGTCTTTATGTAAGTTCCATCCTGCAGGCACAGCTGGGTAAGGCAGTGGCCGCCGGGAACTCTTCCCTTTTCCACTCTCTTGGGGGGAATCGGCACAAGATCGGTTGCTTCTTCCTTAAGTGTCGGATGGACTGCCCGACAGGCCCGGACCTGGGTCTTCTATTTGGGAAGATTTAAAATCATGGAGCCAACGAATTCAATAGTTACAGAGGAAGTCTTCAGAGGTCTATTCTTGGGATGATTGTGGTGGGTTGTGTTTTTCTTGGATGTTTCCATTTAATACAAACTTTTACAGTGTTGGCAGAGTGTTGTTCTTAATGCCCTTCTATGATCTCTCAGTGTGGGGTCTGCAGAGTCGGCCGTGTCTCCCAGTCTCTTTGTTGATCAGCCACCAGGAGTCGGCCACCATTAGTCTCTCCGGGCCACTCAAATGCCACAGGCTGGGGTGGCGTCCCCGAGAGGGTCCTCACAGCCCTCACCCTGAGGTTCAGCCCTGCAGGGACCCCACCTGGACATTGAGCTCTTGGGGACCCTCAAGCCCACGAAGTTGGAAGTACCATTCAGCCTCTTGGCTGCCTCTTCCATCGGCAGACAGACCATGACAGACTCACCCGATACGCCGGGGTCCCCCAATACCTGTCTTCTTGTAGGTCTTGGCCAGTAAGTTTTCTTAGCATGCTTCACTCTTCAGTGCTTTTAAGTAGATTTTTTAAATAGTTCATCCAACTTTCCTAATTTTTCACTGAGGATTATTTTTATTAAACCTAGTGCAACATTACAGGAAGTATTAGGTTGTGTGTGCACATAAAGAAATTCTGCTTCTAATGGATTGGTAGGTTTTAGTGGAAAAATTAAACAAAAACATTACTTTGACTACATTTGTAAATGGATTGTTTCTTGTGAGAACCTCTAACTATACGTGAGTGCTGGAGATTATAAGTAATTGCACATGACAAAATAAAAGCCACTCATGAAGGAAGAAAGAGAGTACGTCATTCATGGATTCACTCATTCATTCATTCAGTGCTCACTTCCTGAACACCTGCTCTGAGCCAGCACTGTGCTCGGCACGGGGAAGGACAGGGTTCTCTGAAGAAGGACCTTGTGAACTAGCGGCTCACTTTCCTCTCCTTCCCTTGCATGTTGTTGTGTATTTGTGCAGATGTACACTTTATATTATCTGGACCAGTTGGTCAAGGCCCTGCAGAAGATGTCCCTTCATGAGCTCACGATACCGGTCCTGCAGTTGGGCGCCCTGATCTCGGCTTGCGTGGTGGACAGCAAGAGCCTCAAAGACCTCTACCACCTTCGGTCAGTATGCCTGCTGTGTTTTCAGGAGATTTCTGAGGGATTGTGTGACTTTTCTGTAGGCTTCAAATCCTTTCTGAATAAATAGCATCTCTGCACAGTGCTAGACGGCTGTTATGTGACCGAGTGAGGCGATCACATCGTAAGGTGCGTCAGTGTCCAGTCACCACGTCGCACACCTGAAACTAACACAATATTGCATGTCAGCTGCACTTCAATAAAAAACATGTTTCAATTGTTTTTTGCCGGAATGGAAGCAGAGCACTGCAGCGTGGGTGGCCAGGGCGCCGCCCCGTGGGCCTTGCTCAGACTTTGGGAGGTGATCCTGAGACTGTGAACGTGTGTTGAGTCATATACATGGACGAACGCATTTTTCTACCTGAAATTTGATAGAGCCACCTCCTATTTTGTCTCAGCAATTTTGCTTAGCTTGAAAAATTATCGAAGATATCATCCACTCATCCATTTCTTTCTTTGTTCACTAATCTTTGTCAAGTGCACGGAGCGCAGGGCGGCCTGCTAGGCCTGCTGGGTCCCGTGTAACCGCCTCGCGCCCCTGTCGCCTCCCAGACTTGTCCTGGTCTGCTCCGACCTGAAGTTGAGGGGAGCAGCGGCTGCCCACGAGGACGCGGTGGGGCAGGTCTACATCGGGGACATGGAGCAGGCCAGGTGCGTCCATCCCCCGCTGCGGGCGGTGTCCTGCTGCTGCGTCAGTGGGACTCTGCGCGGAGCTTAGGGCTCCCAGGGACGAAGGGGCTGATGTCTTCCTCTCGGCTGCCTCCCGTCCCAGCCCCAGGCACCCGCTGCTCAGCATGGCCGGCCAGTGGGTGTCGGGAGGACCCAGGGCTACAGTGCTCAGGGAGTCAGGGTCTAGGGGGCTGTGCAGGGGGCGCAGCGTATTACTTACTGACCTCCTGTGGGCGGGCATCTCCTGGGCTGGGACCATGCCAGGGGAGGGGAGGGGAGACGGGACAGAGAACTTTCAGGCGTCTGGGCAGAGCGGCAAAGGTGAGGGAAGTGGAGGACCCTGGGGGAGGCGGATGGGACCGGAAACCTCCGCTTGTCCGGCGGTGGGATGGAGCCCCGTCTGGGCGTCCCGGGCAGGGGGGCAAATCCACAACTGGCTGCATGAGTCTGGACCCCGGCAGAGAATGGGCAACCAGCGTGAATCTGGGAGTCCTGTGTGCTGCTAAATCGTGGGATTTTTAAAATCTTTGTAAACGGAGTGAAGAGTGGCCTCTTGTCGACATGTTACTTTGTAGTTCTTGGGTTGCTGGTGAAACAGACTATTTCCAGGTATTTCTTGGCCTTTGTGTCTCTTCAGCATACTGCCTATTTTATGTATGTTAGCTGCAGAAAAGAAATTGCCTTGAGAAAGGAGAAAAACAGGGAACCACTGTTGAAAGAAAGTCTGCAGACACCGAGTGAGCCCCAGGCTGCTGTGACGCCGGCAGAGACGAGGCCCCTCGTGGCGAAGGACCAGGTAACCTGGCTCAGCCAGAGCTGCCGCTTCCCCGCATGGCGGGGTGGTGACAGCGGCAGCTGCCACCTGACTCAGGACGTGTCTCCCCCGTGCTGCGCCTGAAGCCCTGTGCGGTGTCCTGGGAGCGCCAGGGACGGATCACGTGTGTCCCCTGCATGGGCCCTGAAGTTCCCCGGGGAGACGAGACTACAGACCACCCTAGACAGGGCTCCCCAGGGCCCGAGCAGCGATTCAGAGAGGACAGAAGGGTGCAGACCACGCTGCTGGGCAGGGCGAGGCCCTCGCAGCCTGAGGACATGCGCTCCCCTCCACTCCCTGGCTCCCCGCCGTGGGCTGGCTTCTCAGGAAAGCACCCGCCCAGCCTCTGCTCTGCAGTCAGAGCGTGTGTGTCCCCATGGGAGAGCCACTTGAGGCTCCGCGGTGAGCCCCACAGTCAGTGCTCTGGAGACTTGGTGGGAAGATGCCAGCCAGGCCCCGGGGTGTGCGGCTCCTGCTTGGGACAGGCTTTGTCGTGATCTGCACCAGGAGAGCGGAGGGTCCCTCGTGCTCTTGCTGAATTGAGCCCAGCGACGCCCCACACCACTCGGGGTGCTGCCTGGTCCGGGACGGGGTGCAGAGCATGGAGCATGGGAGGGGGAGGGGCGGTGCAGGAACCAGCTCTGGCGCAGCGATGGAGGCCTGGCTGGGTGAGAAGACATGTGCCCAGGAGGAAAGCGGGCTGTGGGCCTGGGCGCACACGAGCATCAGAGGTGGAGCTGGCTCGGGTGTTACAGATCCTGAAGATGGATGCAGAGACCGGCAGAGGCCTGGACGGCACGTCCTTCCCCCAGCTGTGGGCCCTCAAGGCAGAAGTGCTGCTGGAGATGGACCTGTACCAGCCCGCGAGGCTGCTGCTGTCGGAGGCCTGCCAGGCCTTCCAGGTAGGGGCCTGCCCGGGCCACTCCTGCACCGCCCCGCGCGCAGCCCGACGGGCCTGGCGGTCCGGAAGCGAGTTTGGAATCCCCCAGGTCTAGAACCCCTGTCCGATTCTCCTTTAGCAACTGGTTCTCTGTGCAAAATGCTGTTCGCGTCCTCTGCCTGCTTTCCCTCCGTGGCCCTGAGCTCATTGCCCAGAGTCTGCTACAGCGCCTGTTCCCACGGCTGCTGTGGGCTCGTTTTTTGCATTGCAGGATCCTGTTCTGTTTCTTTGCAGGCCTCTTGGTGTGTGTGGGGTGGGGGGGTGAGGACCCGGGAGACCCCGGGGCTCCTTCCTCCAGAGGCCGACGGTGCACCCGTCCCCCGTCCCCACCCTGCGCTCGTTCTCACTCCTCGGACGCAGGTGGGGAAAGACCTGCTGCGCTCTTGTCTGTCCCCGTTTGTCTGTCTGTCTGTCTGTCCCTCTCTCACCGTCTCTGTCCCTCTTGTTCCCTCCCCCATCCTGTCCCCATATATGTCTGTCTTTTTCATTAGGAACTTGGTGATCCTTGTGCAGAATCCAACTGCCTGCACCTCCTGGCACAGTTGGCTAATAAGGAGAAAAACTTCAGCCAGGCCAAGAAGATGGTGGAGCGCGCGCAGAGCCTGGGCGGCGGGGAGGAGTTCTGGTACCGGTCCACGCTGACCCTGGCGGACACGCTCCTGTCCATGGAGAAGGAAGGGAGAGAGATGCTGGTGAGGAGCAGCCAGGTGCTGTGCCCCGCCGGGAGGGCTGCGGGCTGGGGCCCTGCCAACCCGGCGTGGTGCGCTCCCCAGGTCTGCCAGCTGTTTCAGAAGCTCATCGAGGTCTTCAAGGTGCTCAGGAGAGAAAGACCGAACCGAGCGCCCTTGCTGGAGTTCATGACCACAGACCTGGAAGCCAGGTACTTTGAAGCACTGCGGATTGCGTGGGAAGTTCAGAACCACACAAGGGGGCGGTGCAGGCACACCCTTCCCAGGGGCCCGTGCGTCCCTCGGACCTTCTCTGAGAAACAGTCTGTCTGTCACGGCCACTCAGGATGGTGGCCACTCAGGATGGTGGCCCCTCAGGACAGTGGCCACTCAGGACGGTGGCTTCGGGTGGTCAGAGGACCCCCCTCGGGCTGTGGGCCCCCGGGGGCAGCATGTCTTTTCTTCCAAAGATGCAGGTGGCCTTGTCATGTTCCTGAGTCCTCAGGAAACGGCCCTCAGTTCCCACCAAGCACAGCACGGGCTTCCTGTGGGCCTCCTGTGGGGTGAGACAGGCACGGCCAGGCGGGGCGCTGGCCGCTGGGGTGGGGTGCCCCCTCCGTCCTGCAGGGCTGAGGGGCCAGGCGCCCAGCCGTCTCCCCTCTGCTCTGGCTGGTTTTCAGAGCCACGTGTCCCCCGGGAGACAGTGCCGGGGTTTCTCCCGTCTGGGCTGCGGCCAATGTTCTGGGGACGGAACTTAGACCAGCAGCGCTATTACTTCCATGGCTGTGAGTCTTCGGAGTCTCAGCTTATCTTTGAGCCATTTTTCTGGCGATCTGTCTTCTAGAAAACCGCTCCCTCTGGGTGTGGGCTGCGTAGACCCTCGCGGCCTCTTCCTTGCAGCCTCTGCGGAGGCCGCGTGTGGGGTCTGCCCCTCCGTGAGGTCAGAATTGCAGGATCCATTCATCTGGGTTAAAGAGCCGCTTTTGCATTATTGGCCAGAGCAACAGGGTTTCATCTCATTTTGGCTTTCTCCGTGTTCTGCGGCTGCTTTGTCGGGTTCCCTGTCTGTGTCGGTGAGGGGTGTGGCTCTGCAGTCCCCCCGCCCGAGTCCGTCACTCATGCACAGGCTGCCTGCCCCTGTCCCAGCAAACACACGTCGACGTCCAGGGCAGCCCGAGGCCCCAGCGGGACCAGGACATTCCCGGCCCTTCTCTGCCCTGAAGTCGTCTGGGACAGTGGTTTTGAACTTCCAAACGGACGCCTGGGGCGGGTGGTCCCTCTCGCTGCTCTGTGGGGACTGAAGAGTGTGGCCGTTCGATTTCCAGGTTTGGCGAGAACTCGGGAGGCTCCTCCGGCCTCGTGGTTCCACGTGGACGGTCATGTCCCAGAGCTGCGGGCCGTGTCGCCTCGGGCCCTGTGATGTGGGCACCTGTCATCAGACCCGAACGCGGCTGTCCCTCCCTCCCCGGCAGGTGCTTGAACCTCCGGACACAAGTGGCCCAGGAGACAGTTGGCAGTGAACCTTCTCAGTTCCCGTCTTTGCTGAGCGAGCTGGATGGCTGCTTGCAGGAGGTCGAGGGGAAGTTTACCGGCTGTGGCTACAGAGAGAAGTGCGTGGACGTGAAACTCCAGCGGGCGAAGATAAAGAGGTGAGCGCATCACGCAGGCTGCGCGGGGACGGGGTGCCGCCCCGCCGCCCCACGAGGCCCGCGGGGTCCCTGCTCCCGTCCCCCGCCCTCCGCCCTCGGCCCTCCGCCCCCCGCCCTCTGCCCTGCCCCCCATGTGGTCAGTTTTTCTCTCTGTCACCCTGTCGTCAGTCCCTCAGGGCCTCCTCCTGGCCCCAGCCCTGTGCCACCTCCATCTCCCCTGGGGACCCCACACTGGGGTCTGCAGCCACTTGGGGTATTCCTCAAGTGAAGCTCGTCACAGGTGTCCTCACTCCTGTCCTGCCACCTCGGTGCCCACCTGCTCAGCCTCTGCAAACACAGACACGCCTCGCAGCCCATCAGCCCACCCCAGGCACAGCACTTCCCAGCACCCCCACTCCACGGGCATCGCCATCCCTCGCAGTGCCCACACGCGGGCACACACACATGCACGCGTCATCCAGCCACATCTCTCACGTACAGACACGTGTCGCATGTATGCACACTACCCTCGCCCACGGACACGTGTTCACACAGCCACACGCACGAGACTCCGCACAGAGAGGAGCACGGCCTCAGGACACCTCCCCTTCCCGCCCTGAGCTACCCACATGCTTGGTGACATGCTGATCACATGTAAGGTGTTAAAACACCTTTTATGAGGGAAGTGACCTGGACACATATGAAACGTCATTTAGTCATCTCATGATGACAGACGAGGAGGGTCACTGTAGGAATTCAGAGCTGCAGACAGCAGCCCCAGGACAAGGAGGGGATTGAGGCTGCTAACACTGTGGCTCTGTCTGGGTCTTGGCAGGACACGGTGCCAGTCTCATGAGACAGGATGTTGAGCGCACTCAGGGTCGTGTTCAGATATGTTGAAAATGTCTATACATGCAAAACAGGGAGTCGTCACATTTTAAGTACTAATAAAATACACAGTGCAGTTACGCAGAGATCACACACGGCGCGTTGTCACTGCCGACGGCGCGGCTCTGACATCGGCTGTGCGTCCGCCCTTCATCCTGGGAAGGTTGTGTGCCCAGAGTGAGCCAGACGAGGAGCAAAGGACCGCCTACTACCTGGAGGCCCACGGCCTGGCCCAGCGAGCCGTGGCTGAGGAGGAGGAGCTGTTCCGCCAGGTCCAGAGCCTCCTTTCCCTGCAGGATGTAAGTACGTGTCCTGGACCTGGCACACAGCGCGGTCAGCAAAGGCACCTTGTCACCCCGGAACGGGTGGCCCTGCCCTGTCCGGCTCCTTGTTGCTCCTGGGGGGAAGGCACCCAGGTGAGGCTGGCGGCTGCCTGAGGGAGGGAGGGATAATAAAGGGCCCTCAGGGAATGTGGGGTGTGAGGGGTACCTCCATGTTTTTCATGGTGGTGGAGGCTTTGTGGGTGCATTCATACATCCAAGCACAGCAATATGTCAGCGACGCCTCATCAGAGCGATTCAAACGGACGCCGAGCCCCGGAGCAGCTTCTGGTGCTCTGACCTCGCCCCCAAACGTGTCAGCTACAGAACGTCAACACGCCTCTAATGAGGAAGCTGGCGCGCCTCAAACTGAACCTGGTGGAGGTGTCCCTGGACATGATGCAGCTCATCTGGGAGGAGGACCTGGAGCAGGAGCTCAGGCACAGCTCCACGGACAAGCTGCTGGCCAGATACCTGCAAAGCACCAGCGACTTCACCGCCGTCGGCTTGGTAACCGCGCCAGAGGCGCTCGGATCCACGTGGGTCGTCATGCTGGGACGGGGGCTCTGCCACTGTGGGCACAGGACTGACCAGAGGGGTGAGGGCGGAGTTCACAGTGCACACCTCCTGAGACCTCTGTCCCCGGTGCCCCACTGCCCCCCGGTGTCCCCACAGCCTGCGGGGTCTCCAGCCTTGCTGAGGAAGGGCCTCACCTGATCATCTGAGGGGACTTAATTGGCTAATGAAACCAGGTCACATGGGGGATGTTTCCCAAACACATGAACTTCCTCCCACGTTCTGAGTTTACTCTGACAATCGTGTCAAAAAAGTCTGTAAGATGAATTACATTTTGTTTAAAAAAACGTTAAAATTTTAACGTATTTGTTTCAAAGGAAACATTTTGCCATTCTAGACATTTTCTTAGATTTCATGATTTATGAATCAAATTAATTTGACATAACTATAAATGAATCAAAGATTGCCTTAAAATTGAACTTTACACAAACTCATGGATGTCCTTGAGCCCTAAATTGAGGTTATATAAGCAAACTTTAGTGACACTCCTATAACCTGAGCCCTGGGGACGCTCCCCAACATGAAGGGGTGTTTCTCAGACTGCTCTGATGTCCCCATTCCCAGGGGCATTAGGGCGGGCCTGGGGGCATTAGGGGTGGACCTGGGGGCATTAGGGGTGGGCTTGGGAGCATTTAGGGCGGGCCTGGGGGCATTAGGGGCGGGCCTGGGGGCATTGGGGCGGGCCTAGGGGCATTAGGGCGGGCCTGGAGGCACTAAAGGATGGGCCTATTGCATTGTCTGGGTGGGAGGGGCCGTAACTAATGTGCTTTGTGTTGAAGAAACGGTTCACCCTGAAGCGGACCCTGGCCCACGTTGCGCTGGCACAGCTGGAGAGCCTGCAGCCGCTGAGCACCAGCTGCGTGGAGATCCGTGCTCAGCTCCTGGGCCTGGTGGGGAAGGCCTTGCACCTGCTGGCTGTGCGGGTGGACCCTGTGCGCCCTGCTTTCTACTGGGAGGAGAGCCTCCTGGTGGGTGCTCCTGCTTGTAGCTGGGCACAAGCCCGTCACCTATGCTCGAACAGTGGAAACAGAGCATCTCAAACTCATCTGATCTCAGAACTAGACTAGGAAATAGGCCCCAGGTTGTCCTCAGTTAAGACGGGTGGTAAGGCTGGACAAGGGGAGAAGGCAGGGAGCAGTGTTGCCAGTGGGGCCCCTGGGGCAGGAGAGAGGCAGGTCTCTGAGGACAGACTGGACAGAGGGCTCTCTGTCCCTTTGAGACAGGGGTGCACGTGGGGGTCCCAGCCCCAAACGTGGTCTCAGCTCCTCGTGTCTCCCCCGCGTCAGCAGCTCTTTGCGCAGGAGTCTGGGGGTGCCTCAGCACAGATGCTAATGTGCAGCAGAGGGCCCTGCACCCCACATAGTCCAGTGAAGCCAAAGTGAGTGCTGAACACCCACCCACTGGCCATATGGTGCACGCAGGCCCCCACCCTCTCCCAAGCTCCCAGTGAGACTGCCCAACAGCCCTGGACGCCCCCTTGGGGACACCTGCTCCTAAGCAGAAACTGGTGACAGCTGCTGCTATTGGTCACCATCGTAAACGCCCCCGAAGATGCCCTTCTTTCCCTGGAAGGCGCCTGCCCCACAGAGCTACCAGACTGGGCCCCAAGCCCGTTTCTTTAGGGAGAACCCTGACCCGAGCAGGCGGCTCCGCACCCCAGTGTGATTTGGAGCCGTTGGCCCCGCCTCCCCGTCCAGCCCAGTGTGCAGGCCCTGAGGGCAGCCCCAATGGGTTCTGTCCTGGGTCCCCAGGACCCAGGGCAGGACTCATGTTCGGGTGAATTGGTGAAGTTTGGCCCCTTGTTCAACCAGTATTCGATGAGCACCTGCACAGGTGGCCTGAGTCAGGTAGAGGTAGACGCATGTCCCTCCTGTCCCGTCAGGGCCTTGTCCATAAAGTGGCACTAACAGTACCCCCCTGGCAGGGCCTTTCAAGAAATGCGCCCACCCAGACCCAGCTAGTTTCCTGTCCGGTTTCCTCCTCCTACCCCTTCCTGCCATGACCCCACCCCTCAGGGTTCCCCCTCAACCCTGGGCCCACTGCATCCCAAAGGATCCCACCAGGGTGGCTCATCCTGCAGACGGGCTGGCACAGGCCCCGTGGTGCCCTAGTCCCCAGGGCAGGCGGGCACCCGACTCGGTTCCAGCTGCACAGAGCTGCTGGGTGCAGAGGCCCGAGGAGCCTGCATCCCCAGGCCTGGAGGAGAGAGCACGGCGTGTGACTGACCGAGGCCTGTGCCACCCGGGCTCGCTTCTCCAGAGCTGCTCCCCACCCGGCTGCACCTGCCGTCGTGCCCCCGCCTGGGGTTCCTGCAGACACCTGTCCCACAGGCACTCCTGGGGCTGGGTGTGGTCTGACAAATGCCGGATGACGGGTGGCATGTCCCCCAGGTGGGAGCAGAGCTGAGCAGCCTCAAGTGTCTGGAGGTGATCCCCGAGGACGAGGACAGTGAGGGCCACAGCAGCAGCCAGCTGGCCTCCAAGGCAGCCTCCGAGGAGCGCAGAAGGAAAGGCTTAGACCTGAAGGTACAGCTGCTGCCATCTGCCCACCCATGCCTGCCCCTCCCGTGGAGCCAGACTGAGCCTGGGCTTGTGCCCACAGAGGAGGAAGGCGCTGGCCCAGCAGTACCTGGCCCAGGCATCCGAGGTGCTGCTGCAGTGCCTGCAGGTCGCCCTGGGCAACAGCCTCCTGAAGGTTGCGGAGGCTGCCAGCCTGGAGATGGTCGAGTGCATTGGCATCCTGGACCCCGTGGCCACCTGCCAGTTCCTGGCGCTGTCTCAGGTGAGCTCTGCTCCGTGCACCCTCTGGGCCGCCTCGGCGAGGGAGGGAGGGCCCCAGCACCTGCTGCTCCCTCCTGCTGGTGGCCCCGCCAGCCGGACTGCACCTGGGGCCCGTGTGGAGGATGGCACTCCTTCGAGGAGAGGCGGCAGGTCCCTGGAAGAAAGTGGGGGGCCATCCTCCTGAGGTTTTCCTGAGCCCAGGCCCCTCTCACCCATGTCCTGTGGGCCCATAAGCCTCGCTGGGCGTGGCCCTCAGCCGCCCGTGGTCTGTTGCAGAGCTGTGCAGTCTCAGAGACGATGCGGGGCGTCCTCCTTGCAGCCACGGCCAACACCAGCAGCTCCCAGCTGGCGGCCCTGCTGCAGCTCCAGAACAGGCTGAGGCACTCGGAGCGGAACCCCACCAGCCTGTTTGCCACCGTGGAGCAGAGGCTGGCTGCCATCTCCAAGGTGATCGAGCTGGGGACAGTCTCTAACTCTGGCCAGCTTTTGCAAGTTTAAAGCTCATTTCATCAGAAAGCAGGAGCCATGCTTCTGCGCGGTCAGCTCACTGGGGAGGGGAGAGGCGTGCAGGAGACTGGGCAGCTGGAACCCTCTGGCATTCACAGGGGCCATTGCAGGGGCCTTGGGGAGAAGGGACTCAGGACTGACCACAGCCACTGGGAGGCCACAGGGAGAGGGGACAGGGTGGTGTGTGCACATGAGGCTGTGTGCATGGGTACCCTTGTGTGGGCACGTGCGTGTAGAGGCTTGCATGTGTGGTTGGAGACAGGAGGAGGGCTGAGGGACGAGACTGTGCTATTCTGGTTTGGGTGCATGTGAGCTTTGGGTATGCAAATCAGGTTTCTGATATTAGTGAAGAGCCTGGACTTCCTCATGCATCTGCTGCCCCTTGTGGTGGCCACATGCTCTGCAGGGCTCCTGCCTCAGCCCCAGCCAGGCGGGTGGGCCCACCACCCTGCTCAGACACCTGCTGGGACATCTCCTGAATAGAGATGAGGACACAGCCAGCAACCCGCCCCACACCCCACACGGGCTCGCTGCTCTCTGTCGGTCACACAGGCTTGGCAGAATCTCTGGGTCACTGAACAACATTTTAACCTCTTGAATGAGATTCCGCCCAGTTTCCGGATCCTCCTTCTGCACCACTCACCTGACAGGTGAGGCCTGTTCCTGTTCTTGTGCCTGCTTCCCGTCCACAGCGGGGGGGGGGGGGGGGGGGAGCCGCGGTGTCACCTCTGAGTGTCTTACCTGACGTGGGCAGAACCTGTTTGCTGCTCAGCCTCCGGCAGGGCCCAAGACTGTTCACTGTTCACAGCTGTGCCTCCGTGGGCCTGTTTGAATTCTGTGTCTTGACTTGGCCGAGGCGCCGGTGGGGAGGGTGCCCCTGTGGGGGTGTGCGTGGCTCACAGAATCGGTGTCTTTGGGGCTGCTCTGGGACCCCATGGGCTGGTCTTTGACGCCATCCTGCATCGTGCCCTCCTGCCCATAGGACCCATCTGTATGGTGCTGTCTACGAGAGACCCAAGTTCATCCCCACAGCCAAAGGGAAGCCCGTCCAAGTGGGGGGTGAGTTCCGGGAGCAGGTGTTTCTCCAGCCCATCCTTGGTGCTAGGCGCACCTGTGGCCTCCAGACACAAGTCTCTTCCTGGGCTCCGTGACCCCAGCCCTCCCCCCACGCATGCGCTCCCCCCTCACCGGGGTTGGGCAGGTTCCACAAAGTCTGACCAGGGGCATCGCAGCCACCAGTGCGGTGACACCAGCTCTAGCCACAGTCATGCCCTCACACGCCCCCCCGCCCCCGCTACTTGGGAGCCTGTCACACCAGAGGAGGAATCACCTGCCCTCCAGCCTCTCTGCTCCCTGCCTCTCCCTCGTGTGTAGGCCCCTGGTTCTGCTTGCGTTTCACTGGCGGTGCGGAAGGCCCCAGAACGTTAGAACTGCTGTTTCCGCAGCACTTCCGGCTGTTTGCTCCGCCCTGAGCATGCATGCCATCTCTGAAATTCATCCCGAGTGACCACGAGCTCTGCCACGGCCAGGACCAGACCCTTGGGCAGCCTCCCCGGGTCCTAATCGCTGAGCTCGCCCCTGGCAGGGTCTGCAGCCTCGGCCCGTTTCAGATGCCTGGTGTCTGCCTCCCTGTCTTTCCTCGACCTTCCAGGACCCTGGCCCTCCTGGCCTGTGCTCCACCCGATGGGGCTGGTCCCCTGACCCCGTGCTGGCTGGGCTCCAGGGCTGTCTGCGGGGCCAGCCTCCCGGTGTCCACACACGAGGGCGGGTCTGCGAGGCCCTGTGTGGGACGGGGTGGTGTTGGTCTCCACAGACTCCTGCAGGGTGGCGCGGGTGGCCGTGAACCCGGCTGCCTTCTCCGGCCTGTTGATCAGCACCCAGCAGTTCCGGGAGCAGACCCAGGCAGAGGTGTGCGGCGAGGGCCCGGCCCTGAGCCCAGGCCTGGTGAGGCCCGGCCCCAAGCCCAGCTGTCAGGGGACCAGGACCCCAGCCCAGCTGCAGTAAGGGGGGTGGGCAGAGCTGGGCTGGGTCCCCCCCAGCGGGTAAGGGGCACTAGCCATCAGGACCCCAGGCACTGTGGGACACCTAGGTCGGCCTCCCTGCTGGACAGGAGCCAACTTGTCTTGGAATCTCTGAGTGAGTCTGATGCAGACGCCTCTATGATGTGAGCAGAGGATCCCCGTGAAGCTGGGGGTGCCAGGGGGCTCTCAGAGGGGTGGAGGGTGACATTGGCCAGCAGGGAGCATGGTCTGCAGGGGCCTAAGGACCCTGACGCCCAAGGCAGGCAGGTGGGAGCAAGGAGCTTCCTGTCTGCTGGGCGGGGCCCTGGCCACCAGGCTGTTTCTGGGAGTGGCTTTTCCCCGGGGGGTCCCACACAGCGGGGTTGTGCCCCTCTGCCCTAACCAGGTGCATCCCATGAGGTGCCCTGACACCGTCTGATCGTGGGCTGTCTGGCTTGGACAGGAATCAGAAGGCGGGCGCCCTGAAAAGCAGGGGCACCCTCTCCCGAGACTCAGTGACGTCCTGAAGGCCGCGGAGGAGTACCTGCGCCCGATGCTCACGCTGCTTCACCGCTCTGAGCCCAGGTCCTCGTGCGGCTCCTCCCTGGGTTCCGGGGCCTGAGCTCTGCACAGTGCAGCCGAGCGACTGGCGTCCTGTTCACACGGGGACGCGCTGCTCCCATCAGGACCCTGTGTTTCATGGCGTCTCTGCCCTTGAAGAGGCCCCTTTGTCGCCAGAACGCCCTGCTCTGTTCTGTCAGCCGTCGGGAGATGCCCTGGTTCTGCCTACAATCTCCCTAAACCCACCTCTCACGTCCTGTGCGGGAAGGTGTGGGGCAGGGACAGCAGAGCCAGGGGCTGGCCCTTGGACGTATTTCTGGTGGGAAAGCAGGCGGAGGGGTGGGGCCTGGGACGTCCTGGACTGGCCAGTAGGTCAGCAAGTGTCTTGAGCCCGCTTGCTGGCGCCTGCGTGCGGCTGGCCTGTGCCCCGTTCGGGGGACCCTCTCCGAGAGCCAGCTGGGGACGGTGTCTGCGGCTCACGGTCAACGAGCGACGGTCCAGTCACACGCCTGCCGTTCTCAGTGTGTGTGGTTTTCATGTATCTTCACACCCAAACACGCGCCTTTCACTTTCAGAACCCAGATGTCCTCGGTGCTGGCAGATGTGGGGAAACCGAAGGGGAAAGACAAGGAAAGGAAGCTGTCCCTGGCCCCCGGTGAGTGCGAGTGCAGAGGCAGGGGGGCGCCTGCCCCAGCCATTGGACCTCAGGAGCCTCCCACGGCCGTTGGTGAAGAAGAACCTGCGTTGAGTCCCCCCCCCCCCATGAGAGCCGAAGGGGATGGCAACCGCCAGACGGGCCTGCTGCCCCCCCCCCCCCCAGGGTCTCCCAGGGCGCCCAGCAGCACAGGCGGCTGGGAAGGGCTCAGGTCGTGTGCCCACCGCCTGTTTCCTAACCTGACTGCAGGGTCAGCTCCAGGGCAGCGGGTGCCGGGCCTCGTGGCCGGGAGCACTGTGCGGCAGCGGGGCCTCGCTGTCACTGCTGGGGTTAGGGGTGCGCGAGGGGCTGATCCCTCACCTGGTGCCTGATTTTATAAATTGCTCCTTTTTTGTTGTTGTTAATCCTCACCCGAGGACACTTTCCCACTGATTTTTAGGTAGAGTGGAGGGGAGAGGAGGGAAGAGAGAGAAACATTGGTATGAGAGAGATACATCGACGGGATGCCTTCCATACGACCCGACCAGGCCTGCAATCAAACCTGCACCCTGAGCCAAACTGGCCAGGGCTATAACTTGCTCTTTTTAAAAGCATCTCATCATCTGTTTTTCTCCCCCCACAAAGACCTGTTGAGCAGAGAGAATGGGCAGTTACTTTGTCAAGTGTTTGGCTTCCAAAGGCGCTGGGTGGTGCCCTGTCTGGGTGCTGAGCTGCCACAGCACCGAGGTGGCCGCTCAGAGCTGAGGGTGCTGCGTGCCGGCAGGGTGCCCATCCGCCAGACTGACGTGGAGGGTTCCGGAAGCTAAGTTACGTTTTCACACGCCAGCGCCGAAGCCAGGGCTCGACCTCCCAAGGCCACTTTTGTGCACGAGATTCTGCCCCAGGGCCCCTGGATCCAGACGAGCTCAGCCGAGCTCGGGTGAGGGCGCGTCCTCACTCTAAGTTGGAGGCTGACGGTGGCCTTGTCCTTCACCGGCCGTGCCCGTTGGAAAGGCCGGTTTTTTCTAGCAGCAGACAGGACCAGCGGCTCCTCTGGGGGCCCCGGGTCCCCTGGAAAAGCCCTGCCCCCAAAGGGTCCTCTGGGGGGCGGTCTAGAGGCCGTGACCCCTCTCTGGTCTCCGGAGGCAGGAGGGGTTGTGCAAATGGCAGTCTTTGAAAGGGGCTCCCTGGTTGGAAGGAGCCACGTCATCCCGGGCCTGCCTCCGGGATGGGCTCCCACGCTCGGGCAGGTCCTCCGAGCTGTGACCCGGCCTGGCCGCACCATCAAAACCAGTGCGAGAGGGGCCTCTGCGGCCAGACGGTGGCCTCAGGCGGGGGGATGCAGGCGGCCGAGCCAGGCCTTGCTCCCGCGTCCAGCTGCTGGCCTTCTCCCGCCACAGTGGAGCCCGAGGCTGCCGACAGCGTGGTCCTCATCGTGGACAGGCAACTCCTGGAGCTGCCCCTGGAAGGCCTGTCAGTGTTCACGGGAGGGACCGTCTCCTCGGTGTCTCGGGATTTCTCCCTCCAGATGCTGTTCAATCGTCTGCACCAGGAGGAGGCAGGTGAGAGCCGCCCTCGGCCGACCGATAGTTCACTTTGAAGTGGAACTGTTGACGTTTAGTACATGAGACCGTTAACTCCTGTCAAGAAAAGTTATCAGAAAGACACAGAGCACCTGTCTGTGCCCCGTGTTCTGTCAGGACGGTTCTTGCCTCGCAAACTTGTGTCGTGGGGGTGGGGACGGGGCGGAGAGGCTCCGCTGCGGGGCTGGTGTGTGGAGGGTGGCAGGTGGGGGTTCTCCACACTGGGCACCGTGCAGATTTCTGCACGAGCGCTGCACATCCATAAATATCAAATCAAACTACAAAGAAATGCGTCGGACTTTTGCTGCCATCTAAGATGAAAACACAAGGAGCAAATTTGCCCTTCCAACTGAACCAAGGAAAAATTCAGACGAGACGCATGAAACAGTAGTTTTCAGACATTGGAGACCAGCCCGTGGGGACTGTGATCCCCCAAGGAGGGGCCAGGCAGAGCCTCACATTCCCCAGGCCGGGGGTCAGGGGACCCACAGTGACAGGAGCCTGCACGGCAGGTCCTGGGGTCTGCAGAGGGTCCCCGCGTCTTCAGTTGACGGCTGGTCAGTACAGGGTGTGAAGAAACCACCATGGCCAGGGACAGAGCTGCCACAGCAGTGGGCACCGTCCTGGGGCTCAGGACTGGCAGGTGGCTCAGAGGTCCACCAGCCCGAGGGGAGACAGAGGTTTCCGGTGGCGACTGGAGGGCATTGCCCTGTGCTGGAGAGACCACCTGTTCCCAGACGACCGAACTGCATCCCAGAGACAGCTCGAGGGGCAGGTGGGACAGCAGTCTCAGCCCCCAGCAAGGGGAGACCGTGTTAGACACGCAGTGACAAGTGGCCCGGCATGCAGAGACGTGGAGGCTGACCCCACGGGGGAAAGGCAGTCAGCAGAAGCAGAGCAGCGGCGACCAGGTGCCAGCTCCCCCAGGACCGTCCTGGGCGGGGATCTGGGGCAATAATGGTCCGTTTTCCACATTTGATGACACCAACCCCACCTAACCTAAGAGGCTCGCTGACCCCAAACACAACGACAAAGAAGGCTGAGCCAGGACGGCACGGTCGGAGGGATGAGCACCCGTCCGCGGTCACGGGTCACCGGCGGGCAGCAGGTGGGTCGAAAGGAAAAGGAGATTGTGCAGTGCGAACACAGGCTGGAGGGACAAGACTTGTCGGCAGAACGACGAAAACAGCGACCAAGGTCTTCAAACTATTAAGGGAAAAGCCCGCCTCCGTGCGCAAGTCCCCAGTGAAGGGGGCCCCTCGTCTCTCTAGAAGACCTTTCGACTTTAAATGCTCATGTCAGAAAAGGAGATGGGTATGAACTTCACATTAGCATCTAATTTAAGAAGTTAGAGCAGAGGATGGGCTACGGCAGGTACGGGGGCGGGGGGCAGACGGCGCAGACGTGGAGCAGGGAGGAGGGACCTGACCCTGACCTGAGCCCAGCGACTCTGTGGCAGCTGTGAGTCCTGGGCGGGGGCCGAGGACCAGGAGGGCCGCCGCCGGCACACGGGTGGGCGCCCGCGTGGCTGTGAGTGGTCAGCGGTGGGCCTGGCCCAGGCCTTTCCCGCCCCTGTGAGACGTGGCGTTTGAGCGATTGCTGCCACTCGGCTTCAGAAAACTTACAATGAACGGTTCTCCCTACTTCTTGCTTTGTTGCTGTGACATTCACATAACGTCAGACTAACCCTCCCGAGGGCGCAGAGTGGCCTCAGTGTGTCACGGGCTGCACGCCGCCCGTCTCCTTCCGCGGCATCACCCCTTCCTGTCTGTCTCCAGCAGATGGGGCCACAAAAAGGGACACCAAAGGCAAGGAGTCCAAGAAGAAGGGCCCAGGGAGGAGGGGCCGGAAGGTAGGTGGGCGCGGCCCGCTGGCGGAGGGCCTGGGGCTGCTGGAGCGAGGCCCCCTGACTCCTGTCTGTGTCACAGCGCAGCGCACCCCGGGTCATCCCCCCCGACTGCATCATCATCGACTCGGATAACTTCAAGTGTATCCTTTGCTGGCCCCTGCCCTGGGACAGAGCCCCCGGTCCTGGTTCTCCTTAACCGAAGCCCAGTCATTGTGGACCCCTATGAGGAGGCCCAGGGCCCAGGTGAGCGCTTCCACACCCCACCCACGACACCGGGTGTGGCCTGGGTCCCCCACGGGACAGCATGTGCGGAGGGTGTGGCCGCTGCCTACTGTGGGGTGTTGGAGGGGGGCCTGGGCCCTCCCTCCCCACCTGCAGCCAGGTCAGACCACAGTGATGTGACAGTGACTCCTCTTGGGGCCCCCAGATGCCAGGAGTGTGCCCCAGGCGCTCAGTGTTCAATTCGGGGGTTCTTCCTTGCCCTGGAGGCCTCGGCCGCGCCCAGCCCCCGCCGCGGCCCTGCACGCGCCACTCGGGTGGCGAAGCTGCTGGGTCTCCCACCGTCCCGTTCTCGTTGCAGAAATGCTGACTCCTATCGCCGTGACCCAGGAGATTCTGGATAAATTCAAAGAAACCTTCACCGCGCGCTGGGTGGGGCATCTGGGGAAGAAGCCCTTCCCAAGGTTTGGTCCGGGTTCCCAGGGCATCGTCCCACAGGGAGCGACGTGCTCCAGGGCGGGTGCTCTTGACAGGAGGGCCGCCGCCCTCGGTCTCCACCAGGCCTCTTCCCCGCCCGAACCCCCATTCTGCTGGGGACCTCTCGTTTTTCTCCATCACACACTGGGCTCCTGGGGGCAGGGCACCACTGTCCTCAGGCCCGTTTTACAGATGAGGCCGGCACCCAGGAGGGCCCTGCACAGGGTCCTGTGGCCAGTCCAGTGGGGTGTGCCCTGTGGGTGCCCTCGGGGACCAGGTGTGCTTGGGGTCAGGGAAGTGTCCCTCAAGCACCTTCCAGAGCCACGCCCAGTGAGAGGGGGTCCCTTCCAGGAGAGCTGCTTGCTCCAGGTGTCCAGGGACCCCGAAGTCAGGCACAGGAGAGGCCTCGTGGTCTGGGGAGGGCGGGGTGCAGGGGAGACAGAGTAGGACGCCTTTGCCTGGACAAGGCGAGGCAGGCGGGTGTCCCCCTGGGGGCCCCGGGGCAGGCGCAGTCCTCCTGTGGGCAGACACCTGCCTGTCCCTGGCCGGCCGCCGCCCACCCAGCCTCTGTCCCCAGCCAGGCCGCTTGGGAGCAGCTCCTGGGCAGCTGTGAAGGCTGCTTCTTCTACGGGATGGAGAGCTTCCTGCTGCATGTGTCAGTGGAGAGGTTGGCGGCCATGAACTTGGAAGGTGAGCAGGTCTTCTGAGTGCACCCCCTTCCCTGACCCCAGCTCTCCAACAGGGCCGTGGGCGCCAGGTGAGTCTGCACAGGACAGAGCAGGACTGTCTTCCTCAGGGGACTCTGACAGGGTGCCCGGGGCCTCGGCAGCCCCTGGCCCCCCAATCTCTCAGATGCCCTAATGTAGACTTCCAGGCCTGCCAGACCAGCCGGGGGGTGGAGTCGGGTTGCCCTACAGAGGCCAGGGAGGCTGGGGGCATTGCCGCAGCGTGCCGGTCACCGCCCTGCCCCAGGCCCTCTGTCTGAGTCCCTGCCCTAGGGGAGGCCGCCAGGGCCTCTGCCCGGGACACCATGGCGGCGGGCAGCACTTTCAGGGTTCCCTCAAGGACGCCCCTCCTCTTCGAAATGCATGTCCCCCCTGATGGCAGCACGTGGATGCGTATCCTGTGGTCAGGGCACCTGAACCCACCATCGCCTGCTGCCCAGTCTCCTTTCCAGCCCCCCACCCCCATGGTGGGGCCAAGCAGGACAGGACCCCACCCACCCTGTAAGCCAGTCAACTGGGGGGTCGAAACAAGGCCTCTTGGACACGGATCCAGGCCTTCTCGGATGGGAGGGCCAGCGAGGCCCAAGGATGTGAAGGCCAAAGGCACCTGCGGTGCCAGCATCCCAGGCCCCACTGCTCCTGCCAAGGCCTGTGTGCAGCCTGCCCCTGGGGCGCCCACAACCCAGCCCAGCTAGGCCACTGTGAGGAGTGGGGGAGGGGAGCGGGGCTGGGGTCTGTTTAGTGGGACTGCCCACGCCCACGCCTGGGTGCGTCCTGGACACTGGCCTCCCTTTCAGTGGGCGCCAGGGGCCAGGGTGCCCCAGGCAAGCCAGGTGCCTGGTCCGGGAGGCATGCTGGGAGCTGGGAGCCCCACAGGGCAGGGAGCGCTGGGCCCGGCGCACAGGGAGGCTGCGAGGCTGTGGAGCTCCGGAAGCAAACAGCGTCCCCCACGCCCGCGCAGCCAGTGGCGTCCCGAGAAGGGCCTCAGGCAGACTGGGCTGTGTGTCTGGGGTCCCCTGCACCCTGGAGATGCCAGCCTGCACCCCACACCCTGCCCTGCACCCCGGAGATGCCAGCCTGCACCCCACCCCTGCCCTGCACCCCGGAGATGCCAGCCTGCACCCCACCCCTTGCCCTGCACCCCGGAGATGCCAGCCTGTACCCCACCCCTGCCCTGCACCTCGGAGATGCCAGCCTGTACCCCACCCCTGCCCTGAACCCCCCACCCCTTGCCCTGCACCCTGGAGATGCCAGCCTGCACCCTCCACCCCCTGCCCTGCACCCTGGAGATGCCAGCCTGCACCCCACCCCTGCCTGCACCCCACCCCTGCCTGCACCCCGGAGATGCCAGCCTGTACCCCACCCCTGCCCTGCACCCCCACCCCTGCCCTGCAACCCGGAGATGCCAGCCTGCACCCCCCACCCCTGCCCTGCACCCCGGAGATGCCAGCCTGCACCCCCCACCCCTGCCCTGTACCCCGGAGATGCCAGCCTGCATCCCCCACCCTTGCCCTGCACCCCAGAGATACCAGCCTGCACCTCCACCCCTGCCCTGCACCCCGGAGATGCCAGCCTGCACCCCAACCCTGCCCTGCACCCCCACCCCTGCCCTGTACCCCGGAGATGCCAGCCTGCACCCCACCCCTGCCCTGCACCCCCACCCCTGCTCTGTACCCCGGAGATGCCAGCCTGCACCCCAACCCTGCACTGCAGACTGCCAGCTGATGGTCCTGCTGGGCCTGAGCCGGTCCTACGAGAGCATGCGGCGGATGATGGAGTCCTTGGAGCACAAGAGGTGCCTGGTGTCCCCCTGCACCACTTGGCTGGCAGCCGGCTTGTAGATGGCTGATGGGGGTGCCTGGGGGCATGGACATGTCTCTAGGGAGAGTGGGGGATGGAGTGTCCCTGCACACTGTGAGCAGAGACCTCTCTGATCGACTCCCAAACCCTCCGCAAAGTCTCTGAAGGCTCCAGCCGCTGACCACAGGCCCGCTAAGCCAGGAGACAGATGGCCGGAGCTGGAAGGGTGCCCCACAGGCGGCACCCCAGGGCCTCCGGACCGCCCGCTTGGCTGAGCAGGGCTCCTCCCTCTCACAGTGGGTGCAGTGCAGAGGGATCTGAGTGGCATCTAAGTTTGGGGTGGGGAGCTGTAAGAGCTGTCGGTCCAAACTGAGTTCCAGCCCTTGGTGCTGTTCGGGTTGAGAGTGGGGTGGGCTCCGTCCCACGGGAGCTCGGTCCCCTGCAGTGCACCCCAGCTGTCCTTGGAGGAGCCCGTTGAAACGGCCATCCTGCTGAGCCTGGTGGGAGTCAGGAGCATCCTGGCAAACCAGTGGCTGACACCCCTGCAGGACAACGCGCTGCGGGCCAGCCTCCTGTGGGAGAGTGAGTGCCCCAGCCGGCCCCACCCCTCCCTGCGCCCCCGGGGTCCGTGCCCATCTGAGGCGGGGTTTCTTCCCTAGACCTGCTGACAGTTGGCAAGTCAACCGGGAGAGTGGTTCGTCTCCTTCAGAAGATGGATGTCGATGACATGGTCAGCCACGGTAAGTAGAGACCGTTCACCTCACTGTCCACCCCCTCAGGCCACGTGGCTGCCCTTGCACCCCTGTCCTACAGCCCTGCAGCGTCCCCACCTCTGCTCCTACACAGCCTCTGCCGGCCAGACCGTCAGCCTCCTGTAAACGGGGCTCGCAGGGGCCTGGCGTCTGAGCCCCTCGGCGGACACACTGGTCGTCAGACCTGCTGGTTTGTCTTTAAGGCTGTTCAGGTCGCACACGTTCTGAAGGCACCGCGTGTGTGTCCTGCAGGGGGGCCCGGGGCTGAGCGAGTGAGGGAAGAACGCGTGAATGAGTGAAAGGAGAAATGAGTGACTGAGCAGGTGATGGATGCGCGACGCGTGTGTCCCAGCGGCGGAGGTCCCAGGGCCACAGGAGAGGGACGGCGGACAGGACAGAAACAGAAGCCGCGGCTCTGCCGGGGCTGAGAGGGGCAGCTGCCAGGCGGGGCGAGGAGGCCCTGAGCCACAGAAGCCTTCGGCCTCGGTGTCCCCGCGGTGTCCTGTCTGTGAAGGACACACAGCAGCGTCCACGCCCGGGGCTGTGTCTGGGGGCAGAGCAAGGAGCACCTTCCTCCCCGTTCGCCAGGCATGTGGCCCTTGGCCGGGGCCCCGGACTCCTGCCCTGGTGAAGCTCCTGCCCCTCTCCCCTCAGACGAGTCTCCAGGGACCTCCAAGAACAGGCTGATGCTCCGGCCACAGCTTCGGGGCCCTGAGCAGCTCTCCTTCAGCCTCAACCTGGTCCTGTATGGGCTGCCGAACCAGGTCATCGCGTGATCCTCTCGTCCCGGACACACCCAGCCTGGACCCTCCTCCTCCAGTGGCCTCCTGCTGGGCTGCATCCCCCCCCCCAGGGTGCCACCTGCCTCCTCCACCACCATCCAGGTTCCTCCCGGGGGGCCTGCCTGCTGTCGGCACCTCTGTGCGCGGGACCCTCGTGGCACAGGAGGAGGGCATCGGGAGGGGCTTGGCAGGTGCGCGGGGTGGGGGCCAACCCACGCTGCCTGGACCCTGAACCCTCATGGGGGTGTGCCTATCCCGGAGGCCAGGATGAGGGGTGCCCCCCTCCCACGAGCCTTCAGCTGCAGGGGTGCCCTGGGAAGAGTTTCTGGCTGACGTCCCTGGGGACGCCCCTGGAGGGAGACACGTCGGTTCCTAGACGAGCAGCACTGTTGGGCTCTGTTTTCCACGTAAGAGTTTCAGTAAAGGACTGAACCCAGCCTCTGCGAGTGGTTCCTGGGGCCGAGACGCTGGGTGGCTCGAACGCGAAGGGAGGACCTGCCGTGTGGGGCAGCCCGGCCCTCCAGAGCTTCCCCTCGGGGGTTCGCACCCTGCAGAGGAAGGGATGGGTCTTCTGCATGATGCAAACACAGCTACTTCCACTGGCCACACGAGGACGGCTGTAGCGCTGGTCCCTGGGGGCTGGTGGCCCTGTCCTCAGCCAGGACCCTGCCTGGGCGCCGCTGTCCTGCCGCCACAGGATCAAGGTGGGGCTGTGTCCTCAGCTGGGGCCCTGGAATGTGCAGCCAAGGGGACCAGAGCCCTCGGGTGTGACGTGAGCGAGGAGCCTCTGCCCTGCCGGTGATGTGGCCGCCGCTCGTTGGCTGCTGCTCTGTGGCTCTGTCCACGTATTTCACCAGCGCCAGGGGAGAGGCCATGGGGGAAATGATGACATAAAGAAGGGCCGGGTCGGTGCCCACCCCCTGACCCCATGCGGCCCCCTGACCTTGGCACATGTGTGTCCCACACTGAGGGCCTGGTGTCCAAGGGCCAGCAGGATCGGATGGGGTTGCCCACTCTCTCCAAACGCCTCTGGGCTGAATGGCCAGCCCTGGATTCGCCAGCCTTGCCTCCCGAGCCCCGTGGCCGGGCCTGGGTGCAGAAGGGAGCTGTGCGGGAAGGGGGGGGCTGGACCAGGGCAGGAGGAGCCAGCAAGCAGTCAAGGACCGGGACCCTGTCTCCGCTGAGTAAGGGGCTGGAAATGAAGGACGTGCAGTGTCAGCAGCAGAGAGCCCTGGGGAGGCCAGCCATCCTGCCTGGTGACCACTGCCCTGTTCGTCCCCATGTGGTCACCTCCAGTGACTGAAGCGTAAGCCCCTCCAGAGGGGTGCCCGGTCCTGCCCAGCAAAGCCTCCTCCTCGCCCGCCTCACCTGGAGACTTCTCGGGCCTGTGAGCACCGGCTCTGGGGCCACCTGGTAGCTGGCAGCCACCCAAGGGCCAGATGCTGCCAGGCCCCTGCCAGGTGCCCCCTGGCCCCCGGGGCTGAGTGAATGGGGAGACGGTGTGAGTACTCGAACCCCCCGCACACACGACCTTGTGCCCTGGCTCTGGCTGATGAGGCCACATCGCAGCAGCTCAGCCACCCTGCCCTTCGATACAGAGGGACCAGGTCTGACACATACGACAGACAGTCCAAGTAGTGAGAAAAAGAGCACAAATTAAGACAAGGATGAGGTATCACTACCATACCTGCTAAAACAGCTAAAATAAAAAACCGTGACACCACCAAATGCTGGGGAAGATGTGGGGAGACTGGGTCTCCCGTGCCTTGCCGGTGGGGCGTGACATGGTGCAGCCCCTCCGGGAAGCTTCCGCTTACTGCCAGGCATTCACCCCGGAGCAGAGGAAATCTCTGTTCACACACACACCTGTGCATGAAGGCTCGCGGCAGCTTGATTCCGTTACCGCAAAAACTAGAGACAGCCGGTGCCGACTGCATCCCGTCCGGAGCTCAGAACGAGAGGATGACCTGCTGACGCCTGCGGGCTTCAAGGGTGTTGTGCTGGTGGAAATGCCAGTGTCAACGACACATGCTGCACGATCCATCTCTACCACGTTCTCAAATGACGAACTATAGAGACGGAGAACAGATTAGTGTTGCCAGGGGACAGGGACAGGGACAGGGACGGTCTGTGTGTGGGGGGCAGGGCAGGAAGCCTTGGGGTGACGGGCCAGTTCTGTATCTTGACCGTGGCAGCTACACAAATCTATACATGAGATAACATGTCGCAGAGCTGCATGCACACATGTACTCACATGTGTGCACACATGGATGCATACACATCACATGCATGCTCTCACGTGCACATGGGTGCACCCACAAACACACGCCTACACAGAGTAGTGGAAACAAAGTACAGTGTGCAGTTGGGTCCCACTTGTCGCCTCAGCTGTCGCCACAGGGAGGCTGTGAAGGGCACCCCACATTCTCTGCACGGTTTATGCCACTTCCCGTGAATCTGGAATTAATTCAATACAGAGTGTTTTTAAAGCTCATCATTGATAATATTGAAAGGTGGACATTCCTCCTTTTCCTGTTTGATTTTTTTCCTTTTTCCAAATATATACACATAGTTTTTCCAGTTCTTTTTTTTTTTTCTCCCTCAAAAGCTAACTGATGACCAGGGAATAAATTTAGATCAAAGCAGCGTTGAAAATATGAGCTTTCTCGCAGAGAGGTGTTGGCACGCACCCAGACAACAGGAATAAAAGCTTCTGGAGATATTTCATCACAGGGCTCTCTCTTCACCCCCCCCCCCACGTCTCCTCACGTGAGTGCGATTTCATGTATCAAAGGCGCTAAAATAACTTTCTGAATTATGTTCCAGCAACATAACAAATCACATTATCAATTAACTTCTACAATAGAAGTGGCTTTCTGTAATAGATCCAAGCATGAAAAAATTACGTGGGTGAAATTTATGTAACCCTAAAAATTGTAAGGAGAAGAAAGATCACTTAGAATTTATTGGTAATAATAGGGGACGGGATGTAATTCGCATGGTGGACAGCCCTCTGAGACAGGGTGACCGGGTCTGTACGCTCTGGACAGGTTCCATAAACGACACTGCTGGTGACGGGCCGGGCTGCAGGATGACCTCACTTCACGACAGGCGACCCTGTGAGCCAGTCGGGTGGAAGCTGAGGGGAGTCGGCTCTGGTCCAAGCTGAGCTCTGGACAGACTCTGTGACCTTGAACCGGTCACTCAGGAGCTTCCTCCTCTCTGACCCAGGACTGCCCGTCGCTGGGGCCGGACCCCCCAGCTCCTAGACCCCCCCAGTCCCAGGTTCCCCAGGAGCCCTGTCCGTAGGTCCAGCCCCCCTGCCTCCGAGTCCCCCCTCCCCAGTGAGTGTTTTGCTGGTCAATCACCTTTTTAAAAGTTCAACTTGTTTTCTTATGTGTCTTGAAAACAGTGATTTCCATATTTTAAAAGTAAGGAGTGCTTTCAACGATATGTTTTATTGTAGGAAATTTGGAAAATAAAGTCCTCTCGACTGAGCAAAGGTGGGCGTTCGATGGTATCTTTTCTCTGCCCCTTTCGCTGCGTGAGCTCCGGGGGTGTTTTGACAAGCCCCCCGAGGTCTCACTTAACGTGCTAAAGGACTTTCCATTTCAAGATTTAAAAACCAGAATCCTGATTTAAAGCATCTCTACCCCCCAGCAGGCCACCTGCAAACACCAGGGACTCCTGGGCACGGAGGGGGCCTGTTCCAATGGGGTTGCTCGTCATGGGGAAGTGGGGGCCCGAGGATGAGTGGGCTGGGACCCTGGGCACACCAGGGTCAGGGACAGGGACAGGGACGGTCTATGTGGACCCAGGCAATGTGGGCTCGTGTCCGTACTTGACGTTCGTTCCTCATTTAACCCCCGTGGAACAGTGTCATCCAGGCTCCAAGGAAGGTCCGTCCTCCTGCCGAGGCCCCCGCGCGCCCTGCCCTGTGCCCGTCCCCGGCCACCTCTGCTGCTCCTGGGCCATTCACACCCCGGGGACAGACTCTCCGGGCTGCTGGCCTCCCCGGGATTCCCCGCCATGTCCCTGCTCCTCCCTGGGGGCTGGGGCTGGGCACCTGGGCCTCCCTCCTCTCCTGCCTTAACTCGCAGTCACAGCTAACACAGGTTTCCCAATTGATTTGGATTAAGAAATTAGGTGGGTTAATAAACCAAAATGTTCACAGACCCTTGTATATAAATTTCTATTAAGTTCCCTCATCCAACGCTGGACTCTAAGAGTTTAATTTCTATATTCAATAATTAAAACTCTGTTTTCAATGGCTGTGAACAATTGTTTTCCTTAATGATCTTTCTAGAGGAGCCAGTAATTTTATATCTTGTAAAAATGATTAACTGGCATCATTATCCCATATCCCTGAAATATAACCCAGCAACTTCACGAAAGGCCATCTGTATTCAATTAATGCTCCTCGCGTTGGACACAGGATCACTCCACACCGCGGGCTGTCCTCTCGTTTTATTATGATGATGATGAAGATAGAAACAACCAGTTTAATGATCCCATTTCCACAGTGAAATCAATTTGCGACACGTCTTCACCCTTTAAAAGGACAGAGGCGCAGGGCGGTTCCTGGGAAGGGCCGGCGGGGAGTGGTCAGGGAGCTCCTCTCCTCCTCCCGGTGAGGCATCTCGGGGTCAGCGCGTTCCGGGCTCCGGCTCCCCAAGGGGCTGCCTGCTCTGCCCCCCAGCATCACTCTGGCCCTCAGCCTCCCAGCAACAGGTCCCTGAGGCTGGTCCTGCTCACTGGACCCACGGACTCGGGCCACTTCCTAGAGCTGGTCCGACTGGAAAAGTGAGGGGCCCTGGAGGGGACTTCTGCAGCAAGCAGCCCCCGGCCCGCCGGGGTGATTCGAGGGACGCGCCCTGGCCCACCACTTCGTCACACGACGGGCGCTGTCGGCCAGTACGATCTAATTGTTTGACGTTTTTATCACAACTCATCGCAAGCAGAGGGAGATGACTAGATTAATACTGCGTGCCGTT